CTGGAGGCAGGAGCTGATGCAGAGGCCATGGAGGGGGGCTTCTTACTGGCTTGCTCCTCATGGCCCACTCAGCCTGCTTTCTTACAGAATCCAGGACCACCAGCCCAGGGATGACGCCACCCACAGTGGGCTGGGCCCTCCCCTATCAATCACTAATTTAGAAAATGCCCAACAGCTTGATTTTTATGGAGGCGTTTTCTCAGTTGAGGTTCCCTCCTCCTCTCAGATGACTCTAGCCTGTGTAAAGTTGGTACAAAGTCTTGCCAGGACAATGGTGATAAGTAACAGTGATGATAGCAGTAGTGAGTATGGTGAGGATAGTGAAGATGGTGGTGTTGGTGGTGATGGTGACAATGGTGACTTTAGTGATAGTGGTGATAACGGTGTGGATGATGGTTATTCTGGTGATAATGGAGACAATGGTGATCACGGTGATGACGGTGAGGGTGATGATAACAATAACAATGGCCGCAGATGATGAACATGTTGATGGTGAGGGTGATGGTGATGGTGATGGTGGTGGTGATGGTGATAACAGCGAAGATGCCAAGAATGACAGTGACCACAGCTGATGAACAAGGTTAGTGATGATGACTACGATGTCGATAGTGGTGATGTGTTTCTTTAACTCAGGTGAGGGTCACTGGTGCCTCTCTTCTTGGCAGCGGCGGTGCCTAGTTCTTTGTGCAGACTCTAAGAGTGCCCTTGCCCTTTGTCCTGATAGATCATGGCATCCCGATAGATCACCACGCATCCTGCACACCCTCTAAAGGGGAGGCAAGGGCAGAAAGAGAGGGAGTCGTTACCCGCAGCAGTCACACAGCAGGCCACTGCTGGCTGACAGAGGATGTGAGCAAAGATGGCGGGCCTTGGTCCCAGCATGTGTTAACTTCGAACCTCTCTTGACTCCTTTGGCGCACCTTACAAGTGGGCATGGATGTAATTTCTCTGTGGTGTGTGTGTAGACAAGAGACAAGGCAGAGCTACTGACCACTGTGTCCCCACAGCGGCAGTGGAGGCCTGCGTGCTGCACGGGCTGAGGCGGAGGGCTGCCGGCTTCCTGCGAAGCAACAAGATCGCCGCTCTCTTCATGAAGGTGGGCAAAGGCTTCCCTCCAGCTGAGGAGCTGAGCCGCAAGGTGCAGGATCTGGAGCAACTCATTGAGAGCGCGTGAGTGTGGCATGGGGGGGGGGCGTCAGCTGGGACAGCCCTGGCGGGCGGGCAGTGTGCATCACCCCTCAGCCTGGTGAGAGCACACACCTTCTGTCTGTCTGTCTGTCTGCCTGTCTGTCTGTCTCTCTGCTTTCCCCAGACCCACCAGTCTTTCCCACCCCAGAGCCTTGGCAGATGTTGTGCCCTCTCTAATCTCACCTGATTCTATGACTAGTTCTGATTGTCACTCAGCTCCTCACTAACTCTGTAAATTCCACCCACTTTCATCTCCTCTGTCCCCTTGTCCTGTTTATTTCACTCTCAATTGTCTTCCTGTCTGTAATTACTCATTCATTATTCATTCCCCAACCATGAACTGAATTGTTGTCTGAGACTATGAGAAGAGGCCACCGCATCTATGTCCCCAGCCTCTAGGCAGTGTCTAGTTCCTGGTCCATCCCACAAGATGGCTATTGAGAGATTAAGTGCAAACTAGGAACCATGCCCTGTTTTATGTGTGTGTGTGTGTGTGTGAGAGAGAGAGAGAGAGAGAGATATGTGTATGCCCCGTGTGTGTGTTCATCCATGTACATGTTCACATATATGTTGGCACGTGTGTGTGTGTGTCCATGGGTTGACATAAATGTCCTCCTTGCACTGGGCGTTGGTGGCGCACACCTTTAATCCCAGCACTCGGGAGGCAGAGGTAGGTGGATCTCTGTGAGTTCGAGGCCAGCCTGGTCTCCAGAGTGAGTGCCAGGATAGGCTCCAAAGCTACACAGAGAAACCCTGTCTCGAAAAACCAAAAAAAAAAAAAAAAAAAAAAAAAAAAAAAAAAAAAGTGTCCTCCTTGACCACTCTCCACCTTGTCACCTGGGGCAAGATCTTGAACCCAGAACCAGATCTGTTGACCTAACCCACCCTGGAGAACTGCAGTAAAAGGGGTTTGGGAGACTTGGCCATATGGGAAGCTGAAGGAGGCTGTGTCCAGCTGGACCATGGAGCAGTGGGAAGGTGGTGGGGTGAGGCCATGGGACCCTCATGGCTGTAGTTCACTGCTGCCTTCCCAAGGGCAGCAGGCTGTCTTTGAAGGACTGGAAGATCTAAGCCTCCTTGGCCAGCATTCCTTTCTGGGGGCGGGGGAGGGGGGAGGAGGGGCACCCCCATTCTCACCCCTCTCCTCACCCTCCACTCCACCCTCAACCCCCACCTCCACCATCATCACCACCAGCACCCCAACCCTATCCTTACCCCCCACTCCCCCTGGCTCCCACCCATTACCCCACCGCACCATCACTCCCAACCTCATCCTCATCCTCACCCCTCATCCGAACACCAGGAGTGAGAAGGGTCCTTGTTCTGACCTCTTTCCTGACTGTGTTCTCTCTTCTCTCTGGTCTCAAAGGCGAAATCAGATCCAGGGCCTGCAGGAGAATGTGCGGAAGCTGCCAAAGCTGCCCAACCTGTCCCCACTGGCCATCAAGCACCTGTGGATCCGCACCGCCCTGTTTGAGAGAGTCCTGGACAAAATAGTCCACTATCTAGTGGAAAACAGCAGGTGAGAGACGCGCCCGCCTTGCTCTGTCGCCACCTGATGGCCATTTATGGGAACTGCACCCATGAGAACAAACATGCTCTTTCTTTCTTTTTCTCTCTCTCTCTCTCTCTCTCTCTCTCTCTCTCTCTCTCTCTTTTTTTTCCTGATGTTTGAAAAAGCTTACATAAAAAGCTTCCTGGATGTTTGAACCTGAACTAGTGTAGCTTGAAAGCTGGGGAGGATTCAGGTCTTGAATACCAATGTGAAAACAAGGACTTCACATTTAGGGGAAGATGGAGGGATCTTGGATTCCATCTTTTTGTGGTTTCCTCAACTTGGTCAATGACAGCAGGACAGTCACTCTACCTCTCTGTGCCTTGGTGGTCTCTTTGCCTACAAAGCGTGGATAGTTTACAGAGAAGATGTAGAAATGCATTTAGTGGGCTACAGTATGTCAAAGTTACACAATGACTCTAGACACTTCCTCCCCTAGCTCACATTAATCTGGTGTAAAGTTTTAATGTGTGAGACTTCTTGCTCAGCACCCATCCTGGCAACTATAACTACAGATCATTGTGAGCCACCACGTGGGTGCTAGTAATCAAACCCAGGGCCTCTACAAGTGGGAACTTAACCATGGAGCCATCCCTCCAGCCCATCTAACTTTTGTATCTCCTTATTAATAGTTATGTGTTAGATGAGTTTTCAAGAACTGGAAGTCATTCCACTGTTACCGTTCACAGTCAGGTGGATCCCCTCAGCATGGACATTGTATTGATGACATCACACATTTATCAGGGTCAGATTTCAGAGATTTGGGGCTTGGTGTTGACATTTGTTCTGACTATCGGGGTACGACAGCCTGTTAACCCAGCCTTTGAGTCTACGCCACAGCTAGACTGTGTTGTATTGCCTTGGTAGCAGAAGGACTGCATCTCCTGAGAACCTGGTTTCTGACTCCTTTGCTCTCCTTAAGTCCTCAGGGCTGTGTAGTGAGCAGGTGCCCATGCGCTCCAGGCCAGGTGGCTATCATCAATTGTTTTGCTCAGTCTATGAGATACAGTTACTGTCCCCTACGCAGCTGAGGCTCTTAGCTGGGGTCCTGGAGTATAGAACCTAGTCTGTCCACGTGTGCCCTCTGCTGGTCTCCATGCAGACCTGCATGTCCTTCCTTCCCACTAGTAAATACTATGAGAAGGAGGCTCTCTTGATGGACCCTGTGGACGGCCCCATCCTTGCATCTTTGTTGGGTAAGTCAGCTCTGGACTGCATCTGGCCCTTGGCTCCTGGGGCCCAGGAGCCTGTCTCTTGCTCTGGTGTCTTCTTGATGGATCCTGGGACATCCTCACTGCCTAGAAGGAGTGGGAACGGTCTGAGGTGGTTGGGTGGGAGCACTTTGGGGATTCCAGGTTCCCAGCCCTGTGTGCTCCACAGTGGGGCCCTGTGCCCTGGAGTATACCAAGATGAAGACTGCCGATCACTTCTGGACCGACCCCTCAGCCGATGAGCTGGTCCAGAGACACCGAATTCACAGCTCACATCTGAGACAGGACTCACCCACCAAGCGGCCGGCACTCTGTGTGAGATGAGCAGGCAATGGGAGGGCTTTGGACCGGGTCTGGAGTTGGCCTTGGGGGCAGGGAACAGGATGGGAGTCCTGAAGGTCATTCACAGGCTCACCCCTCTCTCTCCTCTCCTGATACCAGATCCAGAAGAGGCATTCAAGTGGCAGCATGGATGACCGGCCATCCATCTCCGCCCGGGACTATGTAGAATCCTTGCATCAGAACTCCAGGGCCACCCTGCTCTATGGCAAGAACAATGTCCTGGTTCAGCCAGTGAGTTTGGGATGGGACTAGATTGTGCTCTGAGGATTTGCTACAGGTTATGGGGGCAGGGGAGCCCCCTCTAACTCCAGGTTGCCTACCCATTAATTCATCAATTTACCCACCTATTAATTTATCTACCCATCCACCCATCTGTTCATTCATATATTTACCAACAACTCCATCTATAAATCCATTCATCAACCAATATAATCACCCACTCATCCAACTTCCATCTGTATGTTGTTTTATTTACCCAGAAGTGTCTCCATCCATCCATCCAGTCATCCATCCATCCACCCATCCATTCACCACCTACCCACACACCCATCCATCTGCCTATCCATCCACCTAGCCATCCATCCACTCACTCACTCTCCTCCATTTACCAATACGCTGCTACCTACATTATATATTTGCTTGTCCACCCATTTGTCCATTCGTCATCTATCTATTCAGCCTCCCACTTGTTCATTCACCCATTTGTCAATTTGTCTACGAGTAAACTATCATTCCTCCCTCCACTTCCCTGCATCTATATCCTATATCCATCTGGCTATGTGTCCATCCATAGTCACCTAGCTAATTATACATACATATATGCATGTATGCATCCTCACATCCATACATCTATATATAAGTACAAATGGCAATATCTCTAGCTAGCTGTCCTGCCAGTCAGATCTTCCATTCTCTGTATCCCCCCACCATTTGTTAATCTTTCTGCCCACCCACCATGTTGTCCAGTCTATCCTTACATCCCTGTCCACCAGGCCATCTGCCTGGCTATTCACTCTTGCTGTCACTCGGTAAACGGTGTGGCAGAGGCGTGGTATTGAGAAGGTGGTGCTCGTCCTCACTGACATCTGGCCGGTGCTCACAGTGCAGCTCAAGCTGCACCGACTGTAGAGATGGCAGTGTTGGAGTCCGCATAAGGGTCAGGATTGTGATTTGCTTGCACACTGGCTGCTTCATTGAATCGGTTGCCTTCTGTGCTCCAACAGCTGCCTGGGCACAAGGACAGAGTGTGAAGCATGAGCAGCCCCTGCCCTGAGGCAGTGTCCCTTGCTGTCCTCTCCTTGGGGTCATTGGGTTATAATTAGTATGCTGTTCCGGCTCAGCTGGAAGAAAGCAGGGAGAGGCTCAGGTCTATGATAGCAGCCTCTACCATTGGGTGACCCTGAGCAGGTCTTTCCACCACGTGGCCTGTCATATCTGCATCACAGTGGGTGCAAGAAACAAATTCCTCAGATTTAGGAAGTCATGAGTTTAAGATGCAGCCACTTTTCAAGCGACCAACTAGAACCTTTGAATGCTAAGGAGTGGAGTGCAGTCCAGGTTTAGAGGGCTTAGTATGCCCAAGGTGTCATCCACAGCACAGGGGGAGAGGGAAAGATGGAGGGAGCAGGAAGAGGAGAGGAGAGAGAAAAGGAGGAGGAGGAGGGGGAGGGAGGGAGGGAGGGAGAGAATGAGAGAAAGAATGAGTCATCAAGAAATTGAAACATGACCATGCCAGGCTCTGGTGGCAGAGACGAGTGGTTGCCATGAACATATATGGTTCACAAAGCCCTAAGCATTTCCCATCAATCTCTCAACACAAAGTGTTTGGTGGCCTCTGGCCCAGCAGTTCCGGTAAGCACAGAGTGTTCACTGTCATCTCCGATGAGGGTCTGAAGGCCCATGGAACATACCATCTCTGCTTTTCAAAGGGACCTGGAACTGGGTGACCTGGGGAGATGAATAATGGACTGTCACCCTGTTCTCAAGTCCACATCACAATAGCTTTGCCATTCAAAGCTGAATCACGGGCTCCTCTGTCATGAGACATTTAAAAACGTACTCGTATGTCCTCCCTGCAAAATAACAGCCCTGCCAAGCTCAGCTGAGGGATGATTGACAGTGATGACTGAGCCTGGGTGTGATCGTGCAGCGATAGCCACTTCACAGCTGAGAGATGCCATAGGCAATCAGATGTGCCCCATATCAGGGATGGATAAGACTGCAACTCAGGGGAGGGGAGGGTCTCCTTCCCAGAAGAGATGGGATCATTTTCTTGCCCACCCACTGACTTGGAATAATGGGAAGTGGGTGAGAGGTTCCATGAGCAGATCCTGGGCAGTAGAGGGTCGGGCTGCTGGGTGGAAGCACAACGGGGTTGCTTGGATAGAAGTTTTCTGGGTAATATCTTTGGGATGGGATGCAGAGGTACCCCTTAAGATTGGCCTAGATTCGGGCCTTGTTTGTAAGGGGTGATAGAGTAGCACTCTCCTTTACTGGGTCCAAAGGAACCTTGGCGTGGAGACAGCCTCAAGAGGGAGAGATGGAGGCACTGGTGCTGGACTTGACTAAGCTTACCCTGGACGGTAGGCTGCAGGTTGCTTTGCTCAACCTGGCACCAGGAAGGATGCTAAGTGGCTTCCAAGTGGTTGCAGCAAACAGCCCAACACTTTTGTTCTGCTTCTATGTCCTTGAGTCAGACCTCAGGACCCTGTCCACCGGAGTCCAGCCCACATGGCCCAGCCTGAGTTCTCCTCTCTCTGCAGAGAGACGACATGGAGGCTGTGCCAGGGTACCTGTCTCTGCACCAGACAGCTGATGTTATGACCTTGAAGTGGACACCCAACCAGCTGATGAACGGATCTGTGGGGGACCTGGACTATGAGAAGAGGTAAGAGAACTTCACCTGGGTCACTCTAGTCTCCTAGACACAAGGATGCTCTCTTCTCAGGGCAGCTGGCCCTGCCTGCCATTCTGCCTGGTTGTTATGGTTACCTAGCCCAGCCTCCCTGCTGCTGTGGCCTTGGGAGCACCTGAAGGCAAATGGCAGAGCCTTGGGGATAGGTGGGGTCAGCTGCTCACATGCATACATCTACTCTCCCAAGCCAGTATGAGATGGCTGAGGGAGCAAAGGTGCCTTCCACCAAGCCTGGCAACCTGAGTTCTATTCCTGGGACTCGTCTGATGGAAGGAGAAAAGTGACCTCTGACCTCCACTCATTCAACATGGCACCCCCCATTAATTAATAATTAGTTATTTTTTTTAAATGCAATTTAAAGAATTTATAAATGTTCTCCCCAGACCTATTAAAGTTTAAGCATAGCAAATATAGAGACTGCAAATGACAATTCAGCCAAGCTGTGAGGACACATCAGACTGACTCAGGAGCTGCACCCCCAAGATAGGTGACCTTGAGCAATCATCTCCACACACACCCCCAGCCTCAGTTTCCTCATCTGTATTGCAGAGTGTGCAGATGTATGCAGGGAGGACCGATAAATAGAAAGAGCATCGTGGTTGCTAACCACCATTGAGGATGTCCACTTCTCTGGCTGACTGGGAGCTCATGGCAGGAAGGCCTGTAATGATAGTCTGCTCTGACTCCAATTGAGAGGCAGAGAGATTGGAGAGAGGCGGTCCATTGAGGTGTCAGAAGTGGGATGCAGCCACTGGCTTGATACCTGTGTTAGTCTGGTCCTCCCAAGAAGAGGTGCCATGCAAGGATCTCTGAAAAAGAGATTTTGGGGAGGGGAAAGACCTGGGTTAGGGAGCTGAGGGCAGAAGCAGGAGTTGAAATAAAAAGACTCAGTCTGCCATGCATGGCGGCGACAAAGGAACGAGGAAGGAAGATCACACAGGAAGAATAACCACCAGGCCATTTGGGGGAGCCCGGGCTAGAGGGGCCCATAATGGGACCTCTTCCTTCCCAGGGTTGAACCTGGACCAATCCCATGTGCTCAGTCCTGGCTGGCATCGTGGCAGCTTGGTGGAACCATGATGGATCTGAGGGTGGCTTGCAGTACCACTGCACTCTGATCCCTGACATGGAGTTTCCAAGTGATTGCATTCCTAGGCTACCACAAAGCCCACGTTCTCAGGTCCCCCTCCTAATTTATTTTAGGATGGTGCTGGGTTCTGGACTAGAAATACATAGTTAAGTCAGCACTCAGAGTGGTCATGCCCCAAGCACTGTGTACTGAGCTGACTGGGTGAAGGACTCTGGGTTGGGTCCTTCAGATGAAGATTCTATTGAATTCTCAGAGAAACACACAGTGGGGATCTTATTGAAGCCTCCATTTTATAGATGGGAAAACTGAGGCTCACATAAACCATCAAGTCAAGCTACTGGCCCCTGTAAGGTCAGAGCTGGGATTGGCCATTCTAACTTATGCCCATGGTTACATGGTAGCCTGGAGAAAAGGTTCTGGGCTAGTATAACTGCTTAGCTTTCAGGTATGAAAATGCCAAGCCCAAGATAACTGGAGCATTTGTCCGGTGATCCAAAGAATCCAGGAATAGGAGACCTCAGGCTGGACACAGGGACTTGAACAGCTGTGCCTGAACTCCTCCTGTCTCTGGTCTTTGCTGTCCTGTCTGCAGGCTGTATGTTCAGACAGACCTTCCTGGCATGGTTCTAACATTCCTGGGCAGAAACGAGCTCTTCTTGGGCCATCTGAGAATAAATATGAATAAATATAATCACACACACACACACACACACACACACACACACACACACACACACACTATACTTGAGTAATGGTGCCAATCATGTGTTAATCACTATGACTACTCAGTGCCGATTGGCTGGCCTGGTCAAGTGATCATTCCAGAGTCCTGGGGTGGAGACTTGGGAGAGTTCAGCTCAGGTAACCATATAGATAGGGAGAAGGGGGGAGGGTTCTTCAGAAAGTTGAGGTGCTGAGACCAAAAGCAGGGGAGGATGGCCGGATAGTCTGGGGACACAGATATTGGGGCAGGTGGGCCTTGGTGAGAAGTCAGAGGTGTGCCCCTGGGATGGTCTTTTGGCTTCCTGCAGTCTCGTCCCCCTTTCCCCTTCCAGCGTCTACTGGGATTATGCTGTGACCATCCGCTTAGAAGAGATCGTCTACCTGCACTGTCACCAGCAAGGTAGGGAATCGTGGGGACAGTAGGTGGCTGGGCATCCATCATGGATCCCTATCCCTACTCACCATTCATTTAGCATCACAAGACACTCCGGTGTGCCTCCGGGAGCAAACCGCATTACCTCTCTTAGTGTGGTGTGGTGCAGCCAGATACAAAGTAACCACTTAGTGACAGTGGTGTAGTGCAGCCAGATGCAAAGTGACACAGACTGTTGGTACAGCCAGATATGAGTGACACAGACTGTTGGCTCTGGAGACAGGACTTAAACCTATATTTTTGTGAGTTCAAAATCAGTTGTGTACAGACCTGAGATCAGCAACTACTATATTCCATTAAAGCCAGAAGAAGGTATATTTAGAATAAACAGGGTGAGCTGTGCCTCATCTAGGTATGGAACTCAATGGTTTAATCCCCTTTACTAAGGCAGACCTTGGTTCTGATACAGGTTTTGCAACTTACCAGCTGTGTGACCTTGGGGATGATACAAAACCTCTCCGAGTCTTGGTTTTGTCCCTTGTAAAATAGGCAATAATACGGGCTGGTGAGATGGCTCAAAGATTAAGAGCACTGACTGCTCTTCCAGAAGTCCTGAGTTCAATTCCCAGCAACCACATGGTGGCTCACAAACATCTGTAATGAGATCTGGTGCCCTCTTCTGGCGTACAGATCTACATGGAAGCAGAATGTTGTATATGTAATAAATAAATAAAACCTAAAAAAGAAAAAAAGACAACAATAGTTAAGCCTCACAGGGATATTCTGGGAGTTACAGTAAGACAGGACTATTAACACACAGTATTGGTATGTATTGGGTATCTAATATGTGCTCTTAGGAGTCATTTACAACTCAGAGCCTCAGAGTTGGCTCCCCTGAGTCTGGTTGGTCTTGGGGGTTGAGGCATGTGTTTGCAGAGTGGGGACTACACCATGCTTCACAGTGATACTTGCCGTTTTCTCTTGTCTGGTGGTGGCAGTGGACAGTGGTGGGACTGTCGTGCTGGTGAGTCAGGACGGGATCCAGAGGCCACCCTTCCGCTTCCCCAAAGGCGGTCACCTGTTACAATTCCTCTCGTGCCTGGAGAATGGGCTTCTTCCTCACGGGCAGTTGGACCCACCACTTTGGTCACAGCGAGGAAAGGTGAGGAGTCAGCTGTGGGAGGCTAGGGTGATGCCAGCCGTGGGTATCACTGAACCCTACTGTGACTTGGTGAGCTCCTGTGCTCCCCTCTGAGACCCTCAGTATTGCCAGGTTGGGGACAGATGGCTCTCTGAAGTCTGCCCTGGGATATGTTCCTGCAGGGCAAGGTATTTCCTAAGCTACGCAAGCGGAGCCCACAGGGATCCTCAGAGTCCACATCTTCAGATAAAGAGGATGACGAAGCCACAGATTACGTATTCCGCATCATCTACCCTGGCATGCAGTCCGAATTCGGTGAGCATCCCTGGGCCCTGCACTCAGTGGCTTCTCCTGAGAACCACTCCAAATGTTACAAGTAGGGGGCAACAGGTCTGGGGCCAGCAAAGGGGACTCAGAGCCAGAAGTGTCCCAGTGCCTTCCACCTCCTCCAAAATGAGAACTAATAGCCACCCCTTATTCAGCTAGTAAAGATGCCACTAGGCAGGAGGTGACAGTGGCATGGGTTCTGGAACCCTGGCTCCACGTGGGCAGGTTTCTATTCATCCCCTCCCTGGCCTTCTTTTTCCTCATTTGTGAAATGGGCTGTCTGCTGCAGGCATTCAGCACACACAGAATAGGTGCACACTAGCTACTGTGTGATCCCTCTTATCAGTATCTTACTTCAAGTTATGAGGGGTCAATGTATGCACAAAGATCTGAATTCAAATATCTATTCAAAAGTTAAGCTTGATTGCACATGCCCATAACCCCAGCATTGAGGGACAGATGTAGGCAAACCCCATATGTTCCCTGGCTAATCAGCACAGCCAAAATGGCAAGCCTTTGATTTGTAAGAGACCCTCAATGGGATAAATTAATAAAGGATAAAAGAAAACACCCCAGATCTTGCTCTGGCCTCTGCATGCAAGCATATTGTGCATGCAACACTTGTGCATGTGCACACACACACACACAATGCCAGGTATTGTATAATGGCAGGTGCTTGTTCTTGTTAGCCTGGTGCTAGGGTGTCAGAGTCAGGCAATCCCCTGGGTTTCGCAAGCCAGCCAGCTTATCCTACTTGCCAAGTTCCATGCTACTGAGAGACTGTCTCAAAAGCCAAAATACATGGTACTAGAGAACAGCACTTGAGGCTGAACTCTGACTTCCACAAGCATGTGCACAAACATGCACAGACACCCACATAACCGTGTGCACCTGTACAGACACACATGTGCTCACACACAATCAAGCCTGGATTGAGCGAGGTGTGATGCAGCACACTGTAATCCAACACTCAGGAGGCTGAAGCAGGATGAGTTTGAGGCTAGTCAGGGCTACTGGGCAAGTCCATGTCTTAAAGAGAAACAGTCACTAGTCTGCTATTAGTGCCGCTGTTATGGGTCTCTGTTGTTTCTGCAAAATGAGAAAAAAAAAAACTGCCTTCTTTACAGGTCGCCAAGGATAAATTGCAAACCTGACCTAGTGCCTGGCACAGAGTGGGCAATTTATAAATGCCCAGGGCTTTCTCCTCTAATCAGCACAATATATGTGGGAGATGTGTGGAGCAGGGCGGGGGTGGGGTGGGTTAGAACCTGGAGGGAACTGGTTTCTCTGGTGGTCTCTGTCCCACCTACCTTAGCCTTCCCTTCTCACTGATTCTTTTTGTTTTCTGCCTCAAGTTGCCCTTGACCTCTTGGGCAGCCCTCGACCCGTGTCCGTTGGCCCTGCCTGGATGATGCTTGCTGCTGGCCAGTCTGTTCTGGTGGTAGCCAGGGGGATCAAGTGGGCACAAACCAGAGGGTACCTCACCGTCCCCACACCGAGTGTGAAGGAGCAGCCCCCCAGTAATGTCTGGTTCCCCTTCCTCTGGGGCTGGGTGCCGCTTCAGCCATGTCATCATTTGAGTCTTGTTCCCAAGGAAAATGGAAAACGCAAACAAACGAACAGTTTTCAGGGTTGGGTGCCTCTCAATCCCCACCCCACAGAAGGCAGGGCAGCCATTAGGTTCTGTGACTCATTGGTGCTGTCCGAATGACAGGAGTGCTGCAGGCATGATTGCCTGCTCCCCATGCCAAGCTGAGAATCAGGGTATTTTCTGGCCAGCTCAGTGGTGAGTCTGAGAGGAGGGAGAGTGAAGCCACATACCATCCGTGGGTGCAAAAGCCTCATTCTGAAACCAGCATGCTTCTCTGATTCATGGGTCAGGATGACCCAGTCAGCCCCGGGCTCTGAAGACAAGGAGAGGGGATAAGGGTGCAAATCTCTCTCTCCTCTGGGCTCAGGAGAGGAGCCTAGATGAGAGCTGTGTCCTAAGAGGCCATAGCAAGTGAGAGAATGAGTACCCATCTCGTGTCTGAGAGCAGGGATCAGCAAAACCATACCCAGGGGCCACATCCAGCCCCATTCTGTACAGCCCAGGAGCTGGGGGGTGTGGTTTATGTCCTTGACTGCAAAACAGCAAAAGAAAGACAAGTCTTGGATCAGCAAGACTGCTCGCCGAGTAAAGGCACTTGCCACCCATGCCCAACAGCCTGAGTCCAATTCCCCAGAATCCACGTTGTGGAATGAATATATTTGAGGGCTTTGTCTCCAGGACATCAGGGGTGCTAGATGGGCATATGGCTTTTTAAAAAATATAATTAATTTTATTTTATTTTACATACATTGGCATGAGGGTTTCAGATCCCCTAGAACTGGAGTTATAGACAGTTGTGAGCCTGTGGTGCTGGGAATTGAACCTGTGTTCTCTGGAAGAACAGTTATAATAACCACAGAGCCATCTCTCCAACCTGGCATATGGCTTTTTGAGGAGCCCCCATCTGAGTCACCGGTTGAAGATGATTTCTAGTTCAGGAGTGTGAACAGTGTTAATGGTCTCCCTGGCTAGATTCCCCGGCCCCAGGGACTCCACTTGTGTGTTGAGATGGTTTCCTACCCTTCTTACCACACAAGCTCCCGAAGAGGTACTCTTGGAACTCAAGCCCCCCAGCCTTTCTTCAGAAGTGCCCAGTAGGTCCCCCTTCCCCAATGTCACCTTCCTGTGAGCAGAACTGAATGAGGGCATGGCGAGGTGAGGTTGTCTGCAGTCTTCCTGGCTTTGCGCTGCTTCCTCTGTTCTGCCTTTGCCCGCCCTCGGCTCTGCTCCACAGCCAGAGCCTCTGAATCTTGGTGGTGGTTTTCACCGGATCAGGCGGGCTAGAGGACTCCATCAGATTGTGGTTGGGCACATTTGGGACTGTCACACTCAGATCCTCCCTGTCCCTGAGCCAGCTTTGAGGGAGGTGCTTGCTTTGGGGTAGGTTTCTGTACTCCACATTGGTTTAACCAAGGTTATTGCTGGGGTCCCCTTTCTATCCACTACCCACCGCAGTGCCCCAGGACCTGATGGATGTCTCTGTGAACAACCTTCCATCGCTATGGCAACCCAGTCCTCGGAAGTCTTCCTGCTCTTCTTGTTCACAAAGCGGCTCGGCTGATGGCAGCTCAACCAATGGCTGCAACCATGAGAGGTAGGTGGGGCTTAGGCTATGCATGGAGGAGTTTGAAGCAATGACCAAAGGCCTGTGACTGTCTGTTTCTTGCTTTGCCCTAAATTTTGAGAGGTGTGAACATAACCTATGGATCCCCAAGAGCTAGGTTTAAATCATAGCCTTGTGTGGTTGTAACCACTGGTATTCTCTTTCATGTGTCAGTTAAGGTAAGGTTCTGATGCAGTAACAAACAATCCTGAAACACCTATGGCTTTTTATAATAAATGCCAAAGGGTCCTGCATGCCATGGCTCTGCTTTCTAATGGACATTGACTTGGATGTCACTACTCTCCATATCAGAGGCAATGAATAGTATTTGTGCTTTCAATTCAGTGGCCCCACTCACAGGGAAGCCGAGAAATACGGCCCAGGATGCACTGGGATCCGGAAATATTATTTAACAATGGCCCTGTGTTCTATGGTCCTCCACAAAACATTAACTATAAGTAGGGTTATTAGAAGGAACTACTGAGTCATCATGGACCATTGAGAAATGATACTTTGCCCAGTGCCTGCTCTCATAGCATCTACTTACATACTCGCATCAACAAGGAGCTCACCTCCTTGCAGGGTGCCAACCCTCCCTCCAAGGGACAGCTTACTATATGTACCTGGAGCATCCCGAGAGCAGGAAGAGGGACTCCCTCTGTGTACATACCAGGACTTCAGCCAGGCTCCCTTGCCATCAGGCCTGCTGGATTTGTCTGGTGTTGCTGAGATAACCTCAGGATAATGTACTAAGATTCTCCTGTTCTGTCCTCTATAAGAGCACACAGTCCTCCTCGCTCCTGTCTCCACAGCCATGCTAGGCATTGCTCTTCTCTTTTCACTCAAAACAGTAACATAAGCATTGTGCAGGGAACAGTCACTTTGAGCCCTGCCTACTGTGCAGCCCACCGGGCCAAATCCATGGGCCGCTTTATAGTAGATCACTTCATACTGGTTCAAGAAAAATAAAAGAATGCATGTGTGTGTGTGTGTGTGTGTGTGTGTGTGTGTGTGTGTGTGTGTGTTGGAGTAAGCCTGTTATCCCAGCATCCAGGAGGCTGAGGCAGGAGGATTGTAGGTCCCAGACCAGCCTGGGTTATACCATGAGACGCTGTCTCAAAAACAACAACAAAAAAAAATCAACAAAGGAAAATAGAAAAAGAAAATGTGCTAGCATGATTGAGAGGTTCAGGGCCTGAATGGCTCCAGATTCTCAGAATGGGAACAACTCTCCAAGTGTTCAGATGGGGGGATGAGTGTGCCTTTATGGTGGCCCTCTCTGATGGTGGCGAAGAATATTTCCAGCAGCCACTGCTATGTCACACCATACTTAGAAACTCAGGCAGAAGAAAGAGCATGCTTCTAGGGAGATACAGCAAAAATCCCAGTGCTGGTTTCCATTGACCCACGTTGGGTCACATGACCCAACTTCTCTTAGCCATGTTTATGTACTGGGTGATCATCCACCTGCATCCAAGCCACAGAGGCACGATGAAGGCGCGATTCCACCAGGGAAACCTGGGGTGTGACAGACAAGGGGCTTGTGGATGGGAGCCACAGCAGCCTCCCTCTGCCCTGACAGCTGACTTCGATCTGCTGTGTGGAGCATGGATGGTTCCTCTGCAGAGCAGCTAAGCAGTGTGTGAACCTCTGCTCTCCTCCCCCTCCCTCTCTTCCCCTCCCCCTCCTGCAGGGCTCCATTGAAACTGCTCTGTGATAACATGAAGTACCAGATCCTTTCCAGGGCCTTCTATGGATGTGAGTACAGGTCTCTAATACTGCTGTGATCTTCAAGAAGCATTTATTTATTAAGTGCCTCATATGCCAAGCAACTTCCTGGTACTCAGGGCAAAGTGGTTGAGGGTGCCCTGGCAGGTACTCACTGCAGTCAGGTTAGTCCCGAGGGGACAGGATCATCTTGGAAAGCAAGCAGAGCATGCCGAATCTCTCAGGTACCCCCTTCTCCAAACAGCAGTGACTCTGTTCATATCTGGCCTTTGTTCTTTCTATATGAACGGGAGGCAGGCCCAGAATGAGCCCAGAAGTCCTCGGCTCCCCTGCCTTCCTGTCCCTTCCCTGCCCACTGCACATCTGTGAATTGCTTTGGCTTCCAGCAGAGGAGGGTGTTGTCCAAAAAAGACAAAACATGCCTTGGGTTTAGTAGGCCAACCACCTGTCCCCAACTTGCTTTCTTTGTCTAGAAAGGGGACGGTGAGAATTTTCTGGGTTGGGGACCCCTGAAGTTGGGTTGGGTAATAGGACAGCCCCATGGATCATTCAAGAGAGACTGGGTGACATGTGCTGGGTAGAAGATGACATCTGCCTTCTCTCCCGGTCAGGGCTCGCCTACTGCAGACACCTGTCCACCGTGAGGACTCACCTGTCGGCCCTAGTCAATCACATGATCGTGTCTCCAGACCTGCCCTGTGACGCTGGGCAAGGGTTGACAGCCAGCATCTGGGAGCAGTACATCCAAGACAGCACGGTGAGCAGGGCAGGACTGGTGCACCAAAGGGAAGAGTGGAGGAAGGCCATCTTGTCAGGCCAGTCTCACAGGGACCCAAGTAGACAGGTCTATCTGAACACGGATCCTCAAGTCCCAAGACTCACAGCTAACTTGAACCCTGGCCAGGTGAAACTGTGAGGGGGGTCAGAAAACATTCATAGGTACAGCCTCCCAATCCCAAAATCCAGAATGTTCTGAAATGGAAACTGAGTATTGACATGAAACCCTAATGGAAAAATCCCACACCTGACTTCACATGACAGGTCACAAACACGCCATGAACTAAAAATACTGTATAAAATGACCTTCAGGCCATGTGTATATGTGTATGTTAAATATATGGATTTTGTGTTTATATATATATATATATATTCAAACATCTAAGAAAATCTGAAACCCCTCAGGGTCCAAGCATTAGAGATAAGGGCTGTTCAACTTGGAAGAGAAGAGAAGGGAACGGTAGTACAAAAATGTCACTGTGGCTCTCATAAAACTGAGGCAGAGGGATTGTGAGTTTGAAGCCAGCCTAAGCCACTTTGTGAGTTCCAGGCTCATCTGAGTTACATAGCATAATGTTCTGAGTAAATTTATGGTAATGTGTTGTGCTGAATTCATAACTACTTTGGGACACATGTGAACCTTTGGCTGCAACCTAGGCACCTGCTCCCACACTGTCTGTCTCAGGCTACAGCCTGGGCACCTGCTGTCTGTCTGTCTCAGGCTACAGCCTGGGCACCTGCCCCAATGCTGTCCATCTGTACCTTTGTCTTTGTTTCTGTACCTACAGCTACAAAGCCGTGTGGATACACAGCAGCTGTCTGGGTTTGTCTTTCTGTTGCTGTCATAAAATAACCTGACACAAGCAACTTAAAGGTGTGGGGGGTTTGTTTTTGCTATAGTTCCACATCTGTTCCACTGTAGTGGGGAAGTCGAGGCCACAGGCTCATGAGGTAGCTGGTCCCATCTCATCCATGGTCAGGAAATGGGGGGGGGGTGCGCTGGAGAGATGGCTCAGAAGTTAAGAGCAGGGGCTGCCCTTCCAGAGGACCTCAGTTCAATCCCCAGCACCCACATGGTGGCTTACCACCATCTGTAAGGAGATCTGGTGCCCTCTTCTGGCCTGCAGGAATACATGCAGGCAAAACACTGTATAGACAAATCTTTAAGGAGAGAAAGAGAGAGGAATGAATGCAAGCAGCTGCTCATCTCAGTGGGGGGGGGCAGCATAGGGAATGGCACTACCCACAATTAAAATAGGTTTCCCCACACTAATTAACGTAATCATGCTGATCCCCCCAGAGGCCTGACCAGAGCCCAAAGGGGCTCATCTCCCACGTGATACTAGCCTCTATCAAGCTGGCAATCAAAACCAGCCACAGCACTACACAGAGATCCTAGAGTTAACCCACAGGACATGTATATACACACAGATCTGCCCCATAGAACACATTCTGACATACAAGTCAAAGCTAGGCATGGTGGCACACACCTTTAATCCTAGCACTGGAGAGGCAGAGGCATTGGGATCTCTGTGAGTTCAAGTCCAGCCTGGCCTACAGAGTGAGTTCCAGCACAGTCAGGGCTACATAGTTAGACCCCATCTCAAACAAACAAACACACAAACACACAAAAAAGAAATATAAGTCATATAATACATATATATATATATATATATATATATATAAAATTCATCAGTTTTTTCTTTTTTTTAGTCTACACATCTACTGATAGGTAAAGGTACATTTATGCCTAACTGCATATTACATAGCTTATATATTTCTGTGTTTATTATATATCATTATATCTTTGATCTCTCATCTATAGATATAGAGTAATAGAAATATATAATAATATGGTAATATTTAAATAGCCATACTTTAATATTTGTATCTACCTTATCTATGTTTCTTTTTAATTTTTAAGTATTTATTTATTTTCTTATGTGTGTCAGGAGTACACAAATGCCACAGTGTGTGTGTGGAGGTCAGAAGACAACAGCTTGCATTCTCTTCCACCACCTGGAAACCAGGTTGTCCGGCTTGGTGGCAAATGCCTTTACCGGCTGCGCCATCTCTCATCCTCTAGATCAATCTCTCAACTGTCAGCAGCAGTCAGCTGCTTTTCTTCCAGACTCTTCTTCCAAATCTCAAAGAAACAGTCAGAACTAAGCTCTTTGTGAGTGGCCCACGGTTTATTTAATTTCCTGTTGACAGGAATTCCCTTTTTTAAAATTCAAATTTGTTGTTGCCTGAGTTTTGTGGGGTGGAGTGTGGAGGATGAATCTCACTAGATAGCCCAGGCTGGCCTTGAACTCACAGCCCCCCCCCCCCCCCCACACACACACACCAACACATACACGCATGCACGCCCGCGCATACACGCACACACGCACACACACCAGCCTCCCTAGTATTGGGCTGGGTTTGCAGATCTGCACCAGGACAGGAGTTCTCTGTGTAGATTTGAAGACAGGCTGGCCTCAAACTCACATAGCTACCTGCCCCTGCCTCCCCAGTGCTGAGATTAAAGGCGTGGGCCAGCCACCATTGCCCGACTTCCTTCTAGCTCTTTTTTTTTTTTTTTTTTTTTTCCTTATAGCTCTTTTCAAAGAGTCATTTTCAGTGGTATAGGAGCCCTCTGTGGTGGCAGCACCCTGGCGCCTGCCCTCCTTCATTACTGGCATTTTGATTTTGAGAATGGGTTCCTAGAAGTTGATTACTGTGTATTAAAATGTGAAATAGATAAGCCAGCGTACTCTCGCAACCTCCCACGGCCACATTGTGAGCCTGCTGGTTCCTGGGGATCTGCGGGACTGACTGGCTTCTAGGCTCAGCTCCAGCTCAGCAGAGCCTGCAACTCCCGGGGAGGAGCCCACGCCTGTGTTTCTAAAGTCCCCGGAGTGCTTCCGTGACCCAATTTAGGAGACACCAGTTTAAGGTCAAATTGGGTGAAACAAGAAATGAGCACAAGAGAATTCAGTGAACTCTCCTCCTACTGTCTGGCCCCTTCTCACGGCTTAGCTACCTTCCTGTGCTGGGTACACTGAGTCCCAGGAACACAGTCCCCCTATCTTGTTGCCAAGCAACACTGGGCTTATTTCTCATGTGAGCCACGTCGGTGGGTGAACATCTCTTTTCACCTGTAAGATTTGTGAACCTGCCATGCCCTAGCACTCGGGGTCTCTTGAGAAGCCTATGGGAAGCCACCTCTTCCCTCTCCTGCCCTGGCCTGCAAATTGCTTCAATTACTTCCTCTCATACCCATTGGCCAGAAAGTGTCATATGACCACATCTAGCTGCAAAGGAGGCTGGGAAATGGAGTCCAGTGGCTCCAGGCGCCCAGGAACTGGATTTTCTGTTTTTATTATTATCTGATGTCTTTTCATTATAGCAAATAATTTCAGCTGTGGAATTTGAAAGAAACAGGATCCAAGACCATAAATAAAACAATAAATGTTAAAATTTAGCATAGCATAGCATTATAGAGGTCTAGGGGCTGGGGAGAAGTCTCTGTGGGTAAGAGCACTTTCTGTTGTGGGAGAGGGACTGAGTTCGGTTACCGGAACCCACAGCAGGCAGCTCACAATGGCCTTTGACTCCAGTTCCAGAGGATCTGCCACTGTCCTTTGGTCTCTAGGGCACCAGGCATGCATGCAGTGCACATGACTTGTGAAGGTACTCACACATACACATAAAATACATACAGACAAAGGTCCAGTGTTTTACCATAAAGTAAAATGAAGAAAGATATAACTTAAACTTCTGTCTTAATGTTGGGGGTGGGGACAGCAGCAAACTGAACCTGAAGTAAACAGAAGACAGGAGGAAGGATGGATAGTGACCAAAGCGGAATTAGATCAGACAGAGGAGAGATAAGAGGTGGGGATAAAGCTGGCTCTCAGGAAAGACCAGTGAAGCTGGGAAAAAGTGTGTGATGTAGAGGACCACAGTCAGAAGTCAGAGAGGAGATATCACTACAGACTCGACGGCAAAGGAATGGAAGATAACATGCAAATACTATGTGTACATATATACCAACAAACTAACCAGAACCCATAAACTCCTAGAGACCACAGCTACTGAAATTTCCTCAAAAAAGAAATGAGAAACCTGGAGATGAGTCATTTTATAACTCTTATAAAGAAAAGTGAGGGGGCTGGAAAGATGGCTCAGTCACTGAAAGCACTGGCTGCTCTTTCAGAGGGACCCGGGTTCGAGTCACAGCACCCTCATGGCAACTCACACTAATTTCAGTTCCGGGGATCCTGCTCCCTCTTGTGGCCTCTGCAGGCACTGCACTCACATTGTGCACCTTCACACATTCAGGCAAAACACCCACACACATAAAATAAAAACAAAGGGGATTTGTTAAAAAGTTGAGGTACAGATGGCTTTCCTGGGAGCTTCTACCTCCTTAAAGAATAGAAGTCATTTCTGATGAAGACTTTGCATTCTTGCCACAACCCATTTTCTGATTTCTAAACAGGCTGGCATTATCTACCTGGGTGGTCGGAGTTCCCACGGCTGCCCAAGGCTACACTGTGGCTGCAAAGCTTGCACCCATGATTTTTCTTGAAGTAACAAAGCCAATCCTGCACTACAGGAAGCCTTGAAAGCCCCTCCTGTGTGGAAAGCTGTTGGTGTAAGAAGAGGCGGCTGAAAATGTTTACTTTGCCTTAATTTGCTTTAGAGTAATTTTCTTCAAGCTAACTGAGATTCCGAGGAATCAAATGGAAATGCTAGTTCATTAGGCACTGCCTTGGGCACATGCTTCCTCCTGCTGCCTCCTTCTCTCTTTTCTCCTTTTCTCCTCCTCCTCCTTTTGGTTTTTGGGTTCTTTATCTTAGATGAGGTCTCATGTTGGCTGGCCTCAAACTCTCCTTGTAACTAAAGATGACCTTGACCACTGGGATCACAACACACACCTTCACACCTATCATCCCTTTAAAAACAGGCTCACCCTAGACAGTCACATCTTCCATTTTTTTCCAGTGCACCTCACATTTTGACCTTCCCTCCCCTCAGTCCTTGTTCCTGTACTGTTCTTACAATTCCCCGTGTGAGTCCCAGCACAGCAATGAGCGTGTCCCGCCCCCCAGGCACTCCCAGTGCCCCCTTTGGTGGGTTGTTTGGATGGTCCAGTTTAGCTCCTCCTGTGATAGCCAGGGTTAATCACATGTTCCCGTACTATGCCATCTCTCTGTTACTGTAACAAGTTCCTAGACTGAGCACAAAAGAGAAAGTCTTACTGTGGGGCTGAGCCACCATTCCTCCACTGTGACCTAGGACCTACATGGGGCTCCAGCTCTTCAAAGCTCCACCAGATTCCAATAGAACCGAGCAAGGGACCAAGTCATTAACACAGGCATTTTGGGGAATATTCCAGACACAAAAGACATGACTTTGCTCATTCACACCAGATCTCACCACAGAAAGAAGACTGCTGGGCCACAGGTCACCCTGGCTTCTCTGTTGACCAGACTTTTTGCCTCTCTCCAACAGACTTACCCTGAGCAGGAGCTGCTGCGGCTTATCTACTACGGAGGTGTCCAGCCTGAGATACGCAGGGCTGTGTGGCCCTTCCTCCTGGGACACTACCAGTTCGGGATGACGGAGTTGGAGAGGAAGGAGGTCGGTCACCTGTCACCTGTAAGGGCAATGAAAGGAGCTGGGTGCTGCTGAGAGGAGTGCTGTCAAGCTGGGTACTGTGCAATTGGGCACTGTCACCTGGGCACTGTAGAGCCCTGCTTGCCTGTGGCAGTGTTGCCCGTGTCAGGGAAGAGACAGGAACATTGAAGAAAGAGCTGTGTGGTGGAAACATGACACAAGGGAATCTTCAAATAAGTTGACCTCCTGTTTTGAGGTCATATAGATTCCTGTGCATTTGTGGGAAGCACTGCAGGGACCGGTGTGACTCAGTTTCCCCCATCGTGACTTCCAGCAGAAGTGTGATGTCACAGAGCACTGATAATGGTACAGCATCTACTTTCACTCAGGCCTCTCCATCCTCCTGTAATTTCGTGTGTGTGTGTGTGTGTGTGTGTGTGTGTGTGTGTGTGCGTGCACTGGTGTGTGTCCACATGTGCACGTGTACACACTAGTATGTGTGTACTTATTTCCCCATGTGTGTGCAGACTTGTACCTTTCTGGTGCCCTAAGAATCCTCACCTTGTCCTTCTATAACCGCACCTACCTCCATCCCACCCTAATCCCTGGATCCTACTTACCTGTCTTCCATTTCCAGAATTTTCTCTTATTCAGGTTGTATAGAAACAGAATTGTGTAGTACGGAATTTTGGGGGAGTTAACTTTTCATTTGGTACAAATCTCTAGGTCCACCCAAACTGTTCTATTATTACCTGTTTCCTTTTCGTGCCTGAGTATCTCTGTGTGCTTATGCCACAGCATCACTCTGGATTGGGTGATTGGTAGCTGGGCATTGCCATGAACCTTTATTTACATTTTTTTTTTTTTTTGTCTAAGAAAAGCTAACTGCAGCCAGGCGTTGGTGGCACATGCCTTTAATCCCAGCACTTGGGAGGCAGAGGCAGGCGGATCTCTGTGAGTTCGAGGCCAGCCTGGTCTCCAGAGCGAGTGCTAGGATAGGCTCCAAAGCTACATAGAGAAACCCTGTCTCGAAAAACAAAAAAAAAAAAAAAAAAAAAAAGAAAAGAAAAGAAAAAAAAAAGCTAACTGCAACTGACAGCTAGTGCAGGTTTGTGTGTGTTGGGAAAATGCCTGATAGTGAAATTACCAGGTCATGTGACAAAAGCATGTTCAATCTTGAAGGAAATGAGAAACTCCAGCAATGACTGTCCCATCTGATTTTGCCACCAGCTGTTTATGAGTGTCCCTCACCTAACGGATGGGTGGATGGATGGACAGAAGACAGTGGATGAGATGGACGCGTGGATGGGTGGGTGGATGGATAGCAGAATTTTGCTCAACTTGTAATCTATATGCCTGACTTGGCGTCTGGCATACAGTGGGTACTTATGAAAAGAAACTAATGAGTAAATGGATCAAGTAATTAACAAATGAAGAAATAGAGAAATCATGCAAACAGTTGAGTGGTTGTGTGAATGAATGAATTAGTAAAAGGAGGAGAGACAGAAGGGAAGTGGGGATGAAGCAGCCTGCTCTATAGTATTTCTCAGCACAGGACATCACAAAGCTCGTATCTGTTGGGTGCTAGCTGCACACATGTGGACAGGACAGAACACAGGGAGTTCAGCACCTCCTGTGACCTTGCACGTGTGCTGATAGGTGGATGAGCAGATCCATGCTTGCTACGCACAAACCATGTCGGAGTGGCTGGGCTGCGAGGCTATCGTCAGACAGAGGGAGAGGGAGTCCCACGCTGCTGCCCTGGCCAAGTGCTCTTCGGGGGCTAGCCTGGACAGCCACCTTCACCGGATGCTGCACCGGGACTCTACCATCAGCAACGAGGTAATGGACAGCTGGCCTGGGAGACTGCTGGCAGGAGGGAGACAGAGTCTTGGGACAGCCTTGCCATTAGCTTTGGGGGAAGGGGGGCTACAGGGACATTCAGAATCAGATCAAGGTTCAAATCCTACTCAGAATCTCTTGCCAGTGCTTTCCTTACCTTTGGGCTCAGTTCCTGCATGCATACAGTGGGAACAAACAGTGGAGCTGTGGGTACATCCCTAAGAAGACCGTGCTTATCAGATTCCAGTGTAGCATTAATGTTCAACTAACGATTTCTGAATAGCTACTATATGAAAGTACTTTCAAGAATGTTCAGAATGGGCTGGAGAGATCCAGTGCCCATTCTGGCCTGCAAGGACACATGCAGGCAGAACACTGTATACATAATAAATAAATCTTAAAAAGAAAGAAAGAGAGAGAGAACGGTTAGAATGTTCTGGTAGCTAAGGTGGACTTCTGGTCTCACACAGACTTTTATCTGAACAACGACTGAAGCCACTGAATGGCAGAACCTAGCATCAGAGTGGGGGAGGGGCAGGGAGGTTACAGAACCACGAGTCCCATCTGTTACCCTAGAAGGATGTAAATCCTAGCCAGAGCTCTCAGGTTCAACATTAAAGGTGGAGCGCTCCAATGTGGAGACTCGAAGGTGGGACCCAGAGGCCACAGTCATCTCTGAGAAGGCTCCAGGGCACAGCTAGGAAGCTGAGGCTTTGTGAAGGGACTTGTCCCAGCCAGGAGAAGGGATGGAATCAGGCTTCTTGGCTCACAACCCAGCAGCTCCAAGTGTGACCTTCCATCTTTGTCTCTGCTTCCTGTCCATCTCAGTCCTCCCAGAGCTGCAGCTCAGGACGCCAGAACCTCAGATTGCAGAGCGACTCCAGCAGCAGCACACAGGTGACTTTCAGAGGCCACGCTCTTCATGCCCTGCCCCCATGCACAGCCCATCAATCAAGCCCCACCCTCCAACCTGGGGTTGTAGGGATTGGATGTCCATCATTTACCAGCCACTTTGCTTGATACAGGCTTTCTCTGTAGCTTTGGAGCCTGTTCTGGAACTAGCTCCTGTAGACCAGGCCGGCCTCGAACTCACAGAGATCCACCTGTCTCTGCCTCCAAGTGCTCAGATTAAAGACATGCGCCACCACCACCCAGCCTGTATTGAGCTTTTCATGGCTCTGTATTGGAAGTGGACTCTCTAGCACAAGCAGTTGCAGCCTCCTTGAAATCCACAGTGATGGTTTTCAGCCTCCACAGACATCACCGTGCCAGGATCCCAGTTCTTTGTGTAAAATGACAAGGGTGTGCACAGGACACTGCATTCTTCAGGTCACCTCGAGGCGGCTCACAAGAACAAGTGCAAACAACATGGAAATAGGCTGTGCCATTAGAAAGGAAGGACAAGTGCCTGAGCTCAGTGCAATGCTTTGGGGGAGGGGGGTGTTTTCACTTAGTGTTGGTTGAATCTTGGACCCAGCCTCTGTGAATTCAGAGGCTGAACCCAATCCTGCTCTCCTATAAAGCATCACATTGCAATCTGCACTTTGCTTCTGTGTCCTTCACCTCTGTCCTCCCTTGAAACATTTCTGCAATCATTAGTTCACCGTGTGGCCTTCCAGACCCTTCTGGATGCCTTTCCATATGCAAAAATACCTAATGGAGAGCAAGACGAGGTAGTTCTTAAAATCCCACATGAATGCCAGTGGACGTATTGTTCAACAGCTTTTGGTGTCACTAATAAGGTTATTCCATCTAGGGCCTCATTAAACAAAAAGAAAAGCAAAAAGCAGTCTGGAGTGATGGCAGCTCAGTGGTTAAGAGCATAGACTGCTCTTGCAAAGGACCCAGTTCAATTCCCTACACGAGCACCTACACGAGCTGCCTCACAACCAGGTGTAACCCCGGGAGATCTGGCACCCTCTTCTGGACTCGCAAGGCACCTGCACTCATGTGGGCATACACACATAAATGAAAAACAAAATAGTTGTTTTTAGTGAAAAGCATAAGAATGTGCACAGAATGTTACCTAAAAACCTGTGTGTGTGTGTGTGTGTGTGTGTGTGTGTGTGTGTGTGTGTGTGTCTGTGTGTACCTAGCCTGGGACCTATGAGAGGTCCCAGCACTGCACATACACACAAAAGCAGAAATAGACCCAGTGAACCAAAACTGATGGTGGCCACACAGAGAGAAACAGCATGAGGCTTTGGGACCTGATCTCTACTGTGACCTTGAGGGCTACAGCTGAAGGACACAGAGAAGCACAAATAAACCTAGTTGTTAGAAGTCTATATAGTGAGAAGCCACCTTCTCCCCAAACTTCATTTCCCTAGTTGACCTCCTCAGAACCAGCTGATCAGATAATTGCTGATATAATTTCAGCATTTGGATTATTGTCTTAAAGAGCGTACACCTTTGTACTGACTGCATGCTATTCCACTACCTGAAAACTCCGTACTGAACTATCCCTTGTTGTTGGACATTAAATTGCTGCTGTAAACTGTGTTGCCATGCACATCCTGACCTGCATATCTGTGTGTCCCTTCCCTCAGGTTTTTGAGTCTGTGGATGAGGTGGAACAGACAGAGGTAGAAGGCAGGTCAGAGGAGAAACAACCCAAAATCCCTAATGGGAACCCAGCAAATGGCACTTGCTCTCCAGACTCCGGACACCCATCTTCCCACAACTTCTCCTCTGGCCTCTCAGAGCACTCAGAGCCCAGTCTTAGTACTGAAGACAGTGTCTTGGATGCCCAGCGCAGCCTTCCTGCTGTGTTTCGACCTGGAGACAGCAGTGTGGAAGATGGGCAGAGCAGCGAAGCCACCACTTCCCGGGACGAGGCCCCTCGGGAGGAGCTGGCAGTGCAAGACAGTCTTGAGAGTGACCTTCTCGCCAATGAGAGCATGGAGGAGTTCATGTCCATCCCTGGCAGTCTGGACATGGTCCTGCCTGAGAAGGATAGTGCCATGATGGAGAGCTGGCCAAGTGAGGCCGACAAGCATGGCCGGGCAGACAGCGAGGACAACCTCTCTGAGGAGCCTGAGATGGAGAGTCTCTTCCCTGCCCTGGCTTCTCTGGCTGTGACCTCCTCTGCCAACAACGAGGCATCACCTGTGTCTTCCAGTGGTGTCACCTACTCTGTAAGTAAACAGGGGTCTTTCCCCAGGAGGGTGAGACTGGCCGCAGTTTGCTTCATTCTCCCCATCACAGGGAGTCGCTGTAGAAACAGGAAGGGGCTGCTGGGCTGGGAGCCAGGAAGTCTGTTCCTTCTCCTGGCTGTGGGACAAGTCCTCTTCTGGAGCCCCAGTTCCCTAGCTGCTCCCTGGAACCTCCTCGGAGATGACCTTGGCCTCTGGTAGCTAAGGCCAGCCTCTATCCTCACAGACTTTAGTTGAACAGCTTAAAGCAGAAACAAACCCACTTTCACCATGTTGTATATCAGCCACCAACCTCCACATCCATGTTGTGTAACAACCAGTTACCCAAGGCCAGCGGCTTTCGCCAACCCACACTGAGCCATAGATTTGCCTCCAAGTCTGTGGATCAGTCTGAAGCTCTGCCCCAAGCTGGGCAGGGTGTGGTTCATTATAATGTCGGCTGTCAGGGGCTGGTCTGTATTGCATCCTCTGGTAGGCTAACCTGGGCTAACGTGGGCTAGTGCTCATGACACAGCTAAGGCTGGCCTTGAGCTCACTCTGTAACCCAGCTTCTAACTTACAGCAATCCTCCTGCCTCTGAGCACTGGGGTGACAGCTTTGTATCCCATTTAAATATATTGGAAATATTTGTTTTGAAGGACCCAGCTTCCCTTTTGGCAGCCATAACGGTCAAACATGTGCTTCTATGACCTTGTTCTAGAAGGTCAGATGCCTGTCTTGTGACAAGGAACCAATCAGAAGTTAGCTGGTGGCGCTATGCTTTACGACCCTGGGTGTGCTTTACAGACAAGTGCACAGCAATGATGTAGAGAGCATAGCAACCACCCTGGGAGGGCCTATGGGTCATAACAACCAGTTGACCAATCAACACAGGGCAAGCCCTCCAAGGCTGGAGGCACACCAATCGTAAGCCTGTGCGTACCCCTAGACACTCCCCTTACGCTGCCCTATAAGATCTTTTGGGAGCCCCTAGGAGCCATCTTTTCTGGCCATCCACCATGGCGGGTGGGTGAAAGACCCGAGCTAACATGGGGTTAGCTCGTTAAATTATAATAAAGCCTCGTGCAGTTTGCAGCAAGCTCTTGAATCCGCCTGGTGATTGGGGTGACCGAGAACGTGGCCTGGGACCCCGGATACTTGAGTTTTCGGGGGTCTAACAGTTTGATATTTTGTCTCTGATGCAGCTGTGTGTGGGAGCGCGTGCGCGCACGCGTGAGTGTGCACATGTGCACAAAAGCACACGTCTGTCCGCAATCCCGGCACTCTAGGTGTTGAGGCAGGAGGATGATGAGTTCCAGGCCAGCCTAGGCTACATCAGGAGACCCGGTCTCAGAAGAAAACTTTTTCATCAGGAAAAGTTGAAAATAGCTTTCCCAGGAGACTAAGAAAGAAAACAAACTCTAGAGTGAGCTGTTGGGAGCAGTTCTTGAGGTCAGTCGTCTCCTTTGTTCCCTCTCCCTCCCACAGCCAGAGCTACTGGACCTGTACACAGTGAACCTGCACCGCATTGAGAAAGATGTGCAGAGGTGTGACCGCAGCTACTGGTACTTCACAGCCGCCAACTTGGAGAAACTGAGGAACATCATGTGCAGGTGGCGGCTGCGGCTGGGGGAGGGGGGAAGGGAGGGGCATAGGGATGGGATAATGTGGGGAAAATGGGGGCTGTAGGCAGTCCAGCTGACGCTCTGTTACTGATACCACACTGATCCGGAGTTTTATTCTATTTATAGTAATAATATAGGACAAATGCAAAGTCAGGAGCAGAGAGAGCACAGAGGCATGCCGTCTGCCTTGTGCTCAGCTCCCTCACACTTAAGGGTCCAGGACCCCTTGCCTGAGGAATGGTGCCACCCACAGCGGGCTGGGTCTTATATTAATTAACATGTAACTAAGACAGTTCCCCGCCCTCCACTAGTGTCGTGACCCGGCATGTCTCAGCTCCAAGCCACAACAGCCATGAGGTTTTGCCTGACTGGGGGAGCGTGGGCTTGGAACCTCCTAGCAACCCAGCAGCGATAAAGACCAAACACAAGCATCTTGTCATCTTTAGAGAGCTCTCAGTTCCATGTTGTAAAACTAGAGTCTTTTCTTTATTTACCATCTTTTCGGCTGTTTCTTAACCGTGCTTCCATGGCCACGAGGAGATCGCTTCTGTCCTCTTCTCCTCTCTGCTAGATGGCCCTTAACTCTCTGTGCTCTCTTGTTACTTACACTCCTAGTATCTCTGCCCAGGTGCAGGCCTGTTCAGATACGTAGGCCCATAGAGATGCAAACTAGGAGACATTCCATACTGAGACTATGCTAAACCATAGCAGACTTGCTTGAATTAGCAATACAATAGTAGGCCAGAGCTCCAGGTTGCTCCTGTTCAGTAAAACCAGAGGCTGGACCTCAAAACATTCCATAATGGTACTATTTTGGTCCCCCACATGCTAGACAGGCCTGCCAGCCAATTCCATATAGACAGACAGACAGACAGACAGACAGACAGACACACACACATACACCTCCCTTCCCAATGTGATAGAGCTAACCATCACACTGACTTTGGACATGTTCTTTGCCTCTCTATGCCTCAGTCTCCTCACTCACACGTTGGTGGCACACACCTTTAATCCCAGCACTTGGGAGGCAGAGGCAGGCAGATCTCTGAGTTCGAGGCCGGCCTGGTCTACAGAGTGAGTGCCAGGACAGGCTCCAAAGCTACACAGAGAAACCCTGTCTCGAAAAACCAAAAAAAAAAAAAAAAAAAAAAAAAAAAAAAAAAAAGAGAGAGATTCAAATATTCAGGGTGCATACAGGGCTGAGGATGTTATCCAGGCCACATGGGTCAAAGCTATTATTCATAGGGACTGATCTAAATTCCTGGTAGACAGACAGAGGGACTGGGTATGGCAAATCCCTAGAAGCTTTAATTAGTCACTTATTTGTGCATAGTGAACATCTCCATATAGCTAGAAAACAGGCGCTTGAAAGCTGTGTGTGGGCCTTGAAGGAGAAGTTGAAGACACTCCGACCTCATGCACCCATGACAGCACCCCTGGGGTGGTGGGGCACTTGCGGTGTACTGTGCTCTTGTGATGCTGTCTTTGACAGGGTTGTCCTGATGGCTGCACCTAGGATGTGTGGTGACACTGAGGGTGGACATCAGACTGAGGGATGGAGGACCAGATGGGAGAAAGGGGCAAAGAGAGCCTGGAAAAGCAGGCTGTGTGGGGATGCAGACTGTGTGAGTGGGGATGCAGGCTGACTGGGAATGCAGGCTGGGAATGGACAGGCTGTGTGGGGATGCAGGCTATGGTACCCTCATTGTGCCATTTCTCCTGCAGCTACATCTGGCAGCACATTGAGATTGGCTATGTCCAGGGCATGTGTGACCTTCTGGCCCCACTGTTGGTCATCCTGGATGATGGTGAGTGTGTCCCCTCTGCCCTGTGGGAGAGGAAGGGTCAGCCTCACTTGTGTCTCCGTGGACTGGGTCAGGACAGGTGCACAGCCTGGTGCAAACCCAGTAGCACAAGACGTTCTCATGTCCTATAGTGCACTGCACTAAGGCCCACCTGACTGTGGTAAGCCATTGCTTGACCATGAATAAGAACAAAGTGAAGCCTGGTCCAGATGGCATCCCTGGTATAAGCTCTACCAAAGTGTACAATTAAAGAGTAATTCTTCACAAGCTCTTCCAAAAATAATTCAATCCAACAAGATACAAAGAGTTATACAGCATAGCCAATTGGGGTTTATCCCAGAACTGCAAGGGCAGTTCAATATTTAAGCAACAACCAATGTAAGCCAATATAAAATATAAATACATAAAATATAAAATACCTGAATATAAAAGACAGACAGGGTGGGGTAGCCTGTGGCCCCAGCACTCGGGACATAGAGGAAAGAGGATCCGAGGTTCAAACTCATCCTTGACCAAGGTGAATTGACAGAAAGCACAGGCTACTTGAGAACCTGTCTCAAGATATTAAAAGGGGGGGGGGTGGAGAAGAAGAACTGGAAAGGAATTAAAACTATCTATGGTGACCTAGTCCTGAATGGTTTGCCTTTAGGATGAAAATCTAAAGAATAAGAAAACAGAACAAGTGAGTCCATCAGGGTTGTAGCACACAAGATCAATAAGCAGAAATCTTGTATATCTACACAGCTGAGCTAAACAATCCCAACCTGAAATTAAGATAATGTGTCATGTCTCCTGAAGAAAGAAGTGTTTTCAGTACCTCTAAAGGGTGTGGTCTTCAATATATAAGCACTGAGCTGCCAAGCCTATCTGTTTACATATATTAAGAAAGTAGGGGCCAGAAAGATGACTCAGTGGTTAAGAGAACTGGCTGCTCTTCCAGAGGACTGGGGTTTGATTCCCAGCACCCACATGGCGGCTCATTGAGCCATCTCTCCAGCCCCACGACAGTTGCTTTTGAACACAGTGGCTTCCAGACTTAAGAATTCCATGAATAGGTAGAATTTCTGAAGGTAAGAAATATGGAAACCAACAAAGCAGTTTGTGTGGGCTTTGTGTCATAACCAGTGGGGACCTATCAAAGGAGTGCCTTTGTCTGATAGACACTTTTCCTCCCAGTACCTCTGTGGTGAGATCTGTGACACACTAAAGGTTGTTGAACATTGGAAGCAGTGGCCTCCACCGACTCCTCCCTGCCCACCTGCTTCTCAGGTGGCCATGGCCATGGCTGTGGACTCTGCTCTGGACCTCACACTGTGCCTGAGGCAGTGGCCCAGCTAACCCTTTAACCCTTTGCCTTGCACTGTCCCCAGAGGCCCTAGCCTTCAGCTGTTTCACAGAACTCATGAAGAGGATGAACCAGAACTTCCCCCACGGAGGTGCCATGGACACCCACTTTGCCAACATGAGGTCCCTAATCCAGGTAGGGCCGGAGGCTTCCTGCTCTGACTTTAGGGGAGATAGGGAGTAGAGCCGAATGGCTTCAGATGGAGCAGTTTGCAGGCTGAGGGTGTGGCACAGCTGGTGGAGCACTGGCCCACACAAGTGCCTGGTTAATAGTGTGATACCTTACAGCTTTTCCAGACATCCTTGTGTTGATTTTACCTCCTCCTTCTGTATTTTTCTCCCTCCCCTCCCTAATTGGAGGCCTCCATCTTCCCCATCATCCTCCTTCAGTCACTTGTGCCCCACTATTTCCCTTCTCTGTGGCTCCCTGACCTCCCTACCCCGGCAATGGTCCCCTTCTTAACTTTCCTGTTCTTCAGTTACTGGAGGCTGTGGACTTGCATCTGAAGATTTGGAGCTGAGAGAGTCAGATGAGAGAGAACACACCCTGTTTGTCTGTCTGAGTCTGGGTTATTTCGCTCAATTTTCTAGTTCCATTCGTTTTTTTTGTTTTGTTTTGTTTTGTTTTGTTTTTTCGAGACAGGGTTTCTCTGTGTAGCTTTGGGGCCTATCCTGGCACTCACTCTAGAAACCAGGCTGGCCTCGAACTCACAGAGATCCGCCTGCCTCTGCCTCCCGAGTGCTGGGATTAAAGGCATGGGCCACCAACGCCTGACATTTGTTTTGTTTTTTGGTTTTTTGTTTGTTTGTTTGTTTTCTACTTCCATTCGTTTGCTTTCAAAAGTCAGGGTTTCCTTTTTCTTTGGAGCTGAATACGATTCCACTGTGCATACATACCACATTTTCATTATCCGTTTGTCAGTTGAAGGAAGGATGTTAGGTTGCTTCCATTTCCAGGCTATCACAATAGAACAGCAATGAACTATGGAGTAGGATGTTGAGTAAGCACATGGGAAGGGGTGCTATGGCTGAGTCCTAAGTTAGACTTACTTTTAGCTTTTTGAGAGTTCTCCACACTGATTGCCACAGTGGCTGTACCAGTTTGCATCTCAAACCCACCAACAGTGATTGTGCCCCTCTCCACCCTGCTCAGCATTTGTTGTTGGCTGTTCTGTCAGTCTTGGCCATTCTGACTGGGACAAGGTGAAATCTCAAAGTTGGTTTGATATGCATTTCCCTAGCTACCAATCAGAATCTACAAGAGCCAGTCCCCCTCAGCCAGCTTCAGAGTTCTGCAGGGGAATCAGTTTACTCAGGCTGGAACTCTAAACGCTGTAGGGAGATCTCAAGCCCAAGGTGTGCTCTGCTGCAGGTGTGCTCTGCTGCTGCTTTGGGGGAATTTTAAAAAAAAAAAAAAAAAAAAAAAAATCACCAAATATTTTGGATACAAAATGTTGAAGAAACAGGATGACTCAGGGGTGACTGCTGCTAAGCCTGGTGACTATATTTTGATCACTTGATCTCATGGGGAGAATGGACCTATACACACACACACACACACACACACACACACACACGAGAAAGAGAGAGAGAGAGAGAGAGAAAGAGAAAGAGAGAGAGAGAGGAGAGAGGGAGAAAGAGAGGGAGGGAGAGAGAGGCAGGGAGAGAGAGAAGAGAGAGAGAAGAGAGAGAGAGAGAGAGAGAGAGAAGGGAAGGAGAGAGAGAAAGGGAGAGAGAGAGAGGGAGGAAGGGAGAGAGAGAGAGAGAGATGAATATGATTGGGTCAGCACAAGAAAAAGGACCAGAGCACCCTTGTCAAATCTAAGGATGATGGTGTGCCTTTGTAAGCCCAGTGCTGGAGAAGGTGTGTATGTGTGTGTGTGTGGGGGGTGCAGCCACTATACAGTTCTTCATTCCCAGCAGAGGGTTCTGTTTACTCTGAATTCTTGCCAACACTTGTTACTGTCTGTCAGTTTGATTTCAGTCATCCTAGTGGGTGTGAGCTTGCCTCATTGTTCTAACTTGCTTTCCCTGACCTTGAGCCAGCTCCATGCTGGCCATTGTAAATCCTCTTTGGAGAGAAGTCTGCATGCACCCTTTTGCTCGCTGAGAGTTGACTGGTATGCAGGGTGAACATGCAGCACTGCACACCACTGTACCCTCTGGCCCAGCCCTTTCGGGGTGGGGGGCTGGGGCTGACGGCCTGCCCTCCCTCCATCAGATTCTGGACTCAGAGCTCTTCGAGTTGATGCATCAGAATGGGGACTACACCCACTTCTACTTCTGCTACCGCTGGTTCCTGCTGGATTTCAAACGAGGTACGGACTCCCTCTAGGGGACTTGTGCGAAGTCTTTATAGTAGAATTTCTGGGGTGCTTATGATGGGGAAGTGGAGACTGAAGAGGACACGGGAGTGAAGGGCACTGGAGCAAAAGTAGCTGAAGAGAGAACATTTACTCAAACCCGTCCATCTTGGCACATGCCTTATCACAAAATGACTATGTAGTAGGAGCCATAAAATCCCTGTTTCTAGAGTTTGGGAGACAGCTCAGTCAATAAAGTGCCTGTACAAGCGTGAGGACCTGAGTTCAGATCCTACCACCCACATAAAAACCTGGGTGTGGCGGCTGGCGGGGTGGTAAAAACAGCTGCCACCAAGATGGATGACTTGAGTTTGATCTTTAGAACCCTTTTAGTTAAAAGAGAGAACCTATCCCCACAAGTTGTCCTCTGACCATGTGCCCCCCCCAAACTTAATAATTTAAAAAGCTAAGCGGAGCCACGCATGTCTGTGATTCAGTGTTGGGGAAGAAGATGCAAGTTGGCCATAAGAGCTCGCTGGCCAGCCAACCGAGTCAAATTGGTGGACTCTGGTCTGCATGCACACACATTTGCACATGAACACACACACACACACACACACACACACACACACACACACACACACACACACTTTATGTTTCAAAGATGAGAAAACAAAAAAGTCAAATACAGAGCTAGGAATAGGGAAGTCAGGGCCCAAGCTTGGTTCTGCCCGTCTCTGGGGTGAGTCCCTCCTTCCAGCCTTCCTGCTTAGCAGAGACCAAGACTCTTCAGCTGAGGGGACTTCAAGCGTATTTCTTGATGGGCACAGAAAGGATGTCACCTCTGAATGTGTGCCATTGTGCAAAGCTGGGGTGAGGCTAGGAGCACTTGATCCTGTGGTGGCGTTAACCCCTGCCCCTGGCTGTGTCTCAACACTGGTCCTTTACTGTGACCAGCAGGCCCCATGCTAAGTTGAGGTGCAGAGGGGCTGGGAGGGGACAGTGCCAGCCCACAGCCTCCCGCTAGTTAGCGAAGGGCTGGGACTCAAATCCAGTTTGTTAGACTTGATAGCCTTGCTCTCAAGGCAATGGTTCTCAACATGTGGTTCATGACCCCTTTGGGGCCGACCAACCCTTTCACTGGGGTAGCTTAAAACCATCTGAAGACACATATTTCCAATGGTTTTAGGAACTGAAGAAGCAATCTCAGTCTTGGCACTGATGTTGGTTTTCTGCACATATTGTTGCAAAATGTAGCAATGTAGTTTACTTTTGTTAGAAATAAATATTTTGCAATATATAATTACACACTGTTTCTTGTGATTAATCATTATATTCAGTTGGTAACAATGAAAATACATCCTGCAGATCAGGTGTTTACATTACAATTCATAACAGTAGCAAAACTACAGTGATGAAGTAGCAACAAAAATGATTTTATGGATGGGTGTCACCTTAACATGAGGAACTGTATTAGAGGGTCACAGCATTTGCAAGGTTGAGAACCACTGTCTTTAGGGCTCTTCCATCTTGCTAGGCTGAAGCAGCAGCCAGCTTACCCTATGTGCTCAGCCACTGAGAACCGCCGGTGAATGCTGCTGGAGATAGAGGAAGGACAGTAGTAGAGGGCAGGGACAGGCCCATGCCAATCAAACCTGCACATGCTCAGATTCTTCACACGGGCACCTTGGACTGAGTCCATAAATGGGGAAGCTCAGGCTTTGAGGGTCAGATGGTGAGGTCTGGGTCTCCTGTCTCCCAGCGTGAGTTCTGCCTGCTGCAGCAGGGCATGAGCACAGGGCTGGCCTGGGACTGTCACCTAGGGAAGTGGGATGCTTGCAGGAAGGACTGGCCTAGTACTCTGTTCTGGACCAGCTCTTATACGCACATGTGTTTGCCGCAGAGCTGGTCTATGATGACGTCTTCTCCGTGTGGGAGACTATCTGGGCGGCTAAGCACGTGTCCTCCGCCCACTACGTGCTGTTCATCGCGCTGGCTCTAGTGGAGGTCTACCGGGACATCATCCTGGAAAACAACATGGACTTCACAGACATTATCAAGTTCTTCAACGGTATCAAGGGGCAGAACTGGGGGTGGGGCTCCCCTCGTGCGTGGCTCCCCAGGTACGGGGCTACAGATGCCAGCAGCTTGACAGGTCCCAGTCATTCTCCTGCCTCCACCTTGCTGCCTCTGCAGCTCATGTGGGCATGCACATAACACTCGAGTGCTGGCACCCGAACCCAGTACTTGCACAGCAAGTACCCTTACCCACTGAGCGTCTCCCCAGTCCTCTGTGGCTCCTTCGTGCTACAGCTGGGATCTCAACCTGCTCCAGGTGTTTTCTCCTTGCTGAGGCTCAGGGACAGGGCCTGGCTCTGCCACTGGCCAGCTGTGCTCAGTGACAAGGTACTGCCCTACCTCTGAACATATACTTCATCTGAAATATCAGGGTCTGCCCCACAGGAGTTTGTGGGTAGGGGAAGCAGGGACAGGGATGCTCTTGGAGTGGCAAGGAATAGGTCCCAGTGGGCCACCGGGTGTGGTCTTGTCTAAATGACAGCATATTCTGGGCCTCAGTACTTCAGGGGAAAAAAAATGCTGCAAACTCCTCCTCCCTCAAGGGAAGTCCAGAGAATTAATGATGAGGTATGAAAAAGCCCTTCATAGGTACCTGTCCCCTTGAGGGGCCCAATAAACAAGGCAATTGCTGCTATTATTGCCACCTAGACAGTAATTAAATGCTAAAAACTAGGCCTGGTTTGCAGTCCCAGGCTGGGAATATGGCTCAGTTGAGTGCTTGTACAGCATGCATGAGCCTTGTGCTACCACACCCATACAAACGGGTGTGGTAGTGCACACCTGCAGTTCCCACCCTGGAAATAAAGGCAAGAAGATCAGAAGTGTCATATTTTCACTATTTGTCATCTGGTACAGAAGGCTTTTGTTGTCTGCATTTCCTGGCTATTGTGAACAGAACAGCAATAGCCGTGGCTGAGGAAGTGTCTGTGGACTAGGATGTCGAGTCCTTTGGGCATACGCCAAGGGGTACTATAACTGGGTCATCGAGTGGATTTATTTTCAGTTCTTTGAGAATTCTCTACACTGGTTCCCGGAGTGGCTGGGCCAGTTTACATTCCCACCAACAGTGAATGGGCCCGGTCCCTCCTCCTATCCCATCCAGCATTTGTTGTCTGCTGTTCCATTGATCTGTGTCATTCTGACTAGGGCAAATGAAATCTAAGTTCTTTTGATTTACATTTTCCTAGTTGCTAGAGATAGCGAACTTTTTCTTAGATACTTCTTAGCCATTTTTATTTCCCCTCCTGAGAACTCTCTGTTCAGGTCTCAGGTCCATTTTATTTTATTTTTTTTAATTAATCAGATGGGTTACTGGCAAAGATTCCCTCCCACTCAGTGTACTTCTGCAGTCAAGTGGTTGTTTTCTTGGCTGTGCAGAGCTTCTCAGTTTTAGGAAGTCTTGCTTGTCTGTTGTTGGCCTTAATTCTTGAGCAAATGGAGCTCCACTCAGGAAGTCCTTTCTTAGGACTGTGTCTTGTGGGGGCTGCCTGTGTTTTCTAGCAGTTTCACTGTTTCAGGTTTCACACTGGGGTCTGTCTTAATTACAGTTTCTATTGCTATGATGAAACTCCATGGCCAAAGCAACTTGGGAAGGAAAGGTTTTATTTGGCTTAACTTCCACATCACTGTTCATCATCACTGAAGGAAGTGAGGACAGAAACCCAAACAGGTCAGGAACCTGGAGGCAGGAGCTGATGCAGAGGCTGCTTGCTGGCTTGTTCTCCATGGCTTGCTCAGCCTGCTTTCTTATAGAACCCCGGACCACCAGCCCAGGGTTGGCACCACCCACAATGGGCTGGGCTCTCTCCCTCATTGTGGTGGTTTGAAATAAAGTGGCCTCCAAAGAGAGTGGCATTATTAGGAGGTGTGGTTTTGTTGGCATCAGTATGGTCTTGATGGAGAAAGTGTCGGGGTGGGCTTTAAGATCTCATATGCTCAGGCTGTTCTTAAGAGTGCACACACACCTTTAATCCTAGCACTCAGGAGACAGAGGCAGGCAGATTTCTGTGAGTTTGAGACCAACCTGGTATATAGAGCAGTTTCCAGGACAGCTAAAGATATACAGAGAAACCCTGTTGCGGGGGGGGGGGAAGGTTTTATATGCTTAAGCTACTCCCAGTGCCACAGAATTCTGATCAAGATGTAGCCAGCACCATGTCTACCTACACACCATCATGCTACCACCATGATGATAACAAACTGAACCTCTAAACTACAAGCCTCCACCCAAATTAAATGTTTTATCAAAGTTGCCATAGTAAGACACCCATGGATCATTAATTAAGAAAATGTCCCATAGGCTTGCCTACAGCCTGATCTTATAGAGACATTATCTCAACTGAGGATGACTGTAGCTCTTGTCAAGTCCACATAAAAGTATCCAGCACAGGGTCTTTGATGCATTTGAAGTTAGTTTTGTGCAAAGGGTGATAGATACAGATCTAATTACTTTCTTCTGCATGTGGACACCCAGTTCTCCCAGGGACTTGTATTGAAGACACTTTTTTCTCCAATGTATGCTTTTGACTCTTTGTTAATTATTAGATGGTTCTATTTATTTGCAGCCATGTTTGTGTCTTCCATTTTGTTCCGTTGGTTTCATGTCTGGTTTTGTAACCAGGAGCAAGATGTTTTTGTTACTATGACTCTGTAACATATCCTGAAACCTGGAATACTAACCCTGCCCACCATTGTTCATTCTGATCTGGATTGCTTTGGCTACCCCAGGACTTTGTGGATCCTTATAGATTTTAGAATGCTTCTTCCTAATTTGTGAAGAGTGAGGTGGGGATTTTGACTGGGATTGCACTGAGTCTGTAAATTGCTCTGCAAAGAAGTGTCCTTTTTTTGGTGTTAATTCTAGTGATCCGAGAGCATGGGAGGTCTTTCTATTTTCCCAGTGTCTTTCTCAATCTTTCTTCAGAGGCTTGAAGATTTTTATTGTAGAGGCCCTTCACCTGTTTGGTTAGGTTTACTCCTGGATATTTTATTTTCTTGGAGGCTGATGTGAATGGTAGTGTGCCTTCGATCTCTTTCAGCATATTTGCTGCTGATATATAGGAAGGCCACTGATTCTGTAAATTCATTAGGTGTCCTGCCACATTGCTGAAATTGTTGATCGTTCTAGAAGTTTTGTGGTAGGATATTTAGCTTCTTTTATATACAGTCTCATGTCATCTGCAAACAGGAATGGTTTGGCTTCTTTGTTTGTTGAGATTGGGTTTCTATGTGTAGCCCTGGCTGTCCTGGAACTCACTGTGGAGACCAGGTTGGCCTCAAACTCAGAGATCCACCTGCCTCTGCCTCTGCCTCTGCCTCTGCCTCTGCCTCTGCCTCTGCCTCTGCCTGTGCCTCCCAAGTGCTGGGATTCAAGGCATGGGCTACCACCTTAGTTTGACTTCTTTGGTTTGTATCCCTCCAATTTCCTTCCTTTTCCAAATGTGACTGCATATCACACAATGTCCTCAAGTGTTTACCAGGAACTTCAGGGGGTACCTCAGCAGCTGCTTTAGAAATCAGGGTCTTAGCTTTCTTTCTGTTTATGAAATGGTTTCTCCATGTTAAAGTCAAGCTTCAAATTATCCTGCTGTATGCAGAGCTTTGAAAGTCTAAGCATTTTTGTGTGACTCTTGATATTTCTTCCCTCTCCTTCTCTCCACCGACCATGGTTTTCTTCATTCCCATAGAATCTTTAGGAATCTGACTTATTGAGGGCTAGAAAGATGACTCAGAGGTTAAGAGCACTGACTGCTCCTCCAGAGGTCCTGAGTTCAATTCCCAGCAACCACACGGTGGCTCACAACCTGGTGTGGCTTTCTCTTCTGGCCTGCCCACAGAACCCTGTATACATAATAAATACAAATCTTTTAAAGATAAAAAAATAAACCCTGCCACATGGCTTTATACTACTTTTTATTTTTGAGACTAAGTCTTGCTATGTATCCCAGGCTGGCCTCCAACTCTAATCTTCCTGTCTCAGATTTCCCAGTGCTGGGATTACAGGCATACACTGCTGTGTCTGGCCTGACAAGGACTTTGTAAAGTATTCATAGATATTCTGCCTGCAGGAAGGGTGGAGGAACCAGTCTTCTCCTAGCACACTCTGAGCCAGCATCACTTCTGTTTCCATGGTAATGTCATGCAGTGGCTTCCTGTTTCGGTCCTCATTTTACAGATGGGGAAGCTGAGATCTGGAGGTGCAGGGCTCCTCTCAGAGTCACTCTGTGGTGGGAACACCAGGAGCTAGAGGAATCTCCCGGGGCTGACACACAAAGCCACTCATGAGTGTGTCTTCTTTTTCAGAAATGGCTGAGCGGCACAACGCCAAGCAGATCCTGCAGCTGGCCCGGGACCTCGTTCACAAAGTGCAGATTCTGATTGAGAACAAGTGAGGGCTGCCACAGCGAGGCATCCCTGCTGTCATCCACCCCTTCCCTTCCTGCAGCCCAGCACGAGGTCCCTGTGCCTGTGGACCAGTGTGGACTTCTGTGTGGAGAGCCATACTCTTGACCTTGGCCATTAGGCAGTGGGGTAGAGAAGAGCCCAGCTGAGCCTTATGTTTTCCTGTTTGACCAAAGATTGCCCAAGACTGGGATTTCCCTCTCTTGGGAGCTGGGGTTGTGAGTCAGTAGAGGTGGCCTCTGGGCCTGCTGTTCCTCTTCTTTTCCCTTGTTCCTTCCTTGTCCGTACAGGAGAGGCCTCTGGGTCTTCCTCTGCACCTGACAGGGAAGGGCCTCTGGAGGTGTTCCAGAACATTCCTGCCAGGCTGACTTGGAGCAGGGTCTCCCTTGGGCATTACTCACATTTGAAGTCCTAGATGTCTCTGAGCATCACCCCTGCCTTCGAACCTGTACCATCTCCCAAGGTTACCCAAATGTTCCTGCACAGCAGATGTGTGCCCCCACCAGAGAACCCCTGGTTTGGAAGAGGGGCTACCAGCCTATCCCTGTCCATTCTCTTCATGCTGAGTCACCCGAGGTCTGCTTCATTGCCCTGTCAGAAGCACACAGCTTGCCACAACCCTGCTGGAGTGTTTTCTGACTTTTTCTGCTCGCTGCTGGGAGACTCGTTTTAGGAAGGCTTCCTGTGAATGCCCTGGGGATTGGAGAGGTGTTTGTAGGTTGGTGGTAGGAGCTCCTGATGAGAGCTGGACCCTAACTACCCTCCCCTAGGGGAGACCTCACAGCTGTGACCTGTGGGCCTGGGCTCTAGTGGAAGCCTGCAGATGTGTGTGTTTGTTTGTGGAAGCCTACAGACGTGTGTGTGTGTGTGTGTGTGTGTGTGTGTGTGTGTGTGTGTGTGTGTGTGTTACCTGCTCAGGTAAACTATCTCTTCTCTAAGCACTTTGTTCACTAGGGGTTAGCCAATGGCAAGATTGGTCAATGTTCCATGATGGTGATCTGGGGCCAGGGATGGGCCTGAAAATGGTTCCTCTACATCTTCATGCTGAGACCTGTCAATCCACACACTGACCCTGAATGAGCTTTTGTATTGAGCTCGTTGTCCCTCAGTAGAGTGGTCTGGGGTACAGCAGAAATCAAGCGTCATAGTGGAAGCTTATCCCCAGGACCCGCAGCCTCTGGGGCAATCAAGGAATGGCGAGTAGGGTTTCATAGAGACAAGTGTGGTTTGAAACATCTCCAGGAGTACCCGAAGCCTTGAGTCCTACTCTGCAGGCTTGTGATGTCTCCTTCCCTCTGTCACACCTCCTGAGTCAAAACCTCTGCCCTCCACCCAGTGGGCAGGGTGGACAGAGAGAAACCTCACTGGATCTCCAGGGACAGCCCCATTTGTGCCGGGGCAGCAGGAAGGGAGGGGACCTGATGTCCACGGTCGCCTCCCAGCCAGACCCCCCAGCTTCCCAAGATGGGACAAGAAAGGACTGTCAGATAAACGTTTATTATGCAGCAGGGCTGCTGGCACAAAGGGTGGTGTTTTAGCACAGCCAGGTCCAGACCTCCTGACCCTTATTTATTTTTGTAACCGACCAGTATGAAGTATAGCACAAGATCTCCTTCTGCCCCCCTTGTGCCTCCCGAGCGTGTGCTTGTGGTTCCGAGTGCCTCGTATTTATTCCACTTACCAGCTGATATCTGTGTGTTGTGTTTTCTCCTGTCCTAGAGTTGGGTGTTGGGGGAATGTCCCCATGCCCAGGGAGTTCTCTTTTTAGTGTTGCCCAAGTGTCTTGTGTCTCCTGAAGAGGTGGTTCTATTCAGAGAAAATATAACTGAGTGGAAAACCTAAGTGTGTATCTAGTTACTTCGCTGTTTCTTTGTGTTTTTGTTTTTGTTTTTGTTTTTTAACAAGGTTTCACTGTGTAGCCCTGGCTGGCCTGGAACTTGCTATCTAGACCAATTGACCTTCAACTCAAGAGATTCTTCTGTCTTTGCCTCCCAAGTTCTGGGATTAAAGTTGTATGCAACCACATCCAGCATTTGGGAGGCTGGGGTTAGACAAGGTTTTAAGTAGCCCAGGATAGCCTAGATCTTCTACTCCAGCAGATGCTGGCTGAGGCTGGGTTTGAACTTCTGATCCTCCCAAGTGCTGTGATTATGGGCATGCACTATCTCATCTTTTTGGCTTGAAGCAGAATCTGGGAGGACCTCACCTTCTCATGCCAGGATGGTGAGAACAGTCAACTTCCCTCTCCCTTCTCTCCCAGGGGAGATCCCAGTAGAAAGCAGGATGGCCAAGTTGGCAGTCAATGTAAAACATCACAGACAAGAAGTCCAAAGATGGACAGACAGACATCAGAACTAGATGGAAGGCCTCTGAGCTCCCAGAAACAGCAAAGTTTCCCTATGGGTGCTCTACTTATATGGAGGGTGGGACAGGTCCTGAGCACCACCCAGCAGGGAGCAGCATTCTGCACACAAAAGATTCACTACATAGCTCATGGGAAACAAATGCTCAAGCTCCCCAAGAGAGGAGGGATTATAAGGGAAGACAGAAAACAAGTTTTGCCCATGGAAAGGATGTCAGATTAGATGGGTGTGGTGGTGCACGCTTTTGATCTCAGCACTTGAAATGCAGAGGCAGGCAGATCTCTGTGAGTTTGAGGCCAGCCTGGTTTATGAAGAGAGTTCCAGGACAATCAGGGCTACATCATGAGACCCTGTCTCAAAACAAATAAACAAACTAAAACAAAGAGTTGGAATAGACCGACATCTTTTCAGGGTTGCTCTGTGCACTTTTCGTCCATATATTTAATTCTCACCCTAGTTCCCATAGTTCTGTGAGCCAGGGACACAGTGACAGCAAATGTTTGCTGATTTCTCTGTGCCAGACATGGGACAACATGCTCCGTTTACATACAGCAAATCAAAGTCCTTCTTAACAACTCCCTCCACAAAGCAGGCATTATACCAACCTCCAATTTACCAAAAATAAATGAGTCCTGAAAGGGAAATTGATTTGCCTGAGGTTGCACAGCATGGAAGCAGAGGAGGTGGAATTTGAACCTGAGAGTGTAACAATTTCATATGATTGTTCCTGATTGTCTTTCACTTTTCCTGGGTGATGTTCATTTGCTTATTCTGACACAAGGGAGATTCTCTGGAGTGTCACTAGAGGATGGGGTAGCTGTCCTCTGGCCATTGGTCATTCGAGGCCATCCGATGACAACAAGCAGACTGGTCAGGACCACATTGAGGATGGTAGTAGCATAGCCCCAGCTCAGCTGGCATGTTCCGCTGTAGTATGTGGAGGAACCTTCACAGATTTCTTTGGCTAAAGGGGAAGCCAGAGTGACTGGAAAAACCAGCAGACCTACAAGGGTGGAGGCTGCTGGGGGCAGCAGAAAAGGAAAGTCAGTATTTGGGGAAACGCTTCTGGGATGATCTGTCATCCCAGGACTCAGCCACCACACTGCCACCCCTACCAACACTACGTATCCATCCATCTATCCACCAACCCATCCAACTATCAGTTCATCTATTCTTACATATACCTACCCATCTGTCCATCAACCTACCCATCCATCCATCCATCCATCCATCCATCCATCCATCCAACCACCTATCCATTCATCCATCCATCCATCCACCTCCCCACCCATCCATCCACTCATTCAACCATCTACCTATCTACTCACATACCTACCTTTCCACCCACCCATCCATCTACCCATCCACTCACCTACCCATCCACCTGTCCATCCATCTGTCTATGTGTGCACCCACCCATCCATCCTCTCACCCATTGACCCATCTCTCCATTCACCCACTCTGGAGACTGAGGCACGCTCGTGGTGCGCGCGCGCACAAACACACACACACACACACACACACACACACACACACACACACACACACACACACACACACCATGCCCAAGGTCCTAGGCTCCACCCTTAGAACCATGCACACAGGAAATTGTTTTTCAGAGTTTCTTGTTCTGCTTTGCTAATGTTTGGTTTAAAATCCAGCCCCAAGAAAGAGCCCCGGCAGAGAGTGATATTTTGTTTCTGCTCAGTTTGTCACCACCAGTCCATCAGAGTAGAATCCTGGGGTGTCAAATTGCAGATTCCTGGGGCACTTTGGCACTATGTATCTAGGTGTATTCTTCCCACAGACTCTAAAGATCAAGATCTATTAAAAAATAAAGGCAAAAGAAGCTCCTTGCAAGTATGGTAAGGCTAGAAATAAAAACAAAAAACAAAACAAAACAAAACAAATAAAAAACAAAAAACAAAAAAAACCAGTTGACACCTTGAGGGGGGTCCTCCTACTGAGAAGGAGAAAGCAGCTCCTTGCACAGAATGTCCAAGCAGATCCCTGCAGAGAGGGGAGGGGACTGTGGGATAAGCGTGGGATTACAGCGTCAGAGAGAAGTGGCAGCTGGAGAGGTGAGGCCAGGACGGGGAGGGCTGAGGCAGGAGAGAGAGACTTGGGTTTCCCTCTGCCTGCCATGGGAAGCCCTTGGAAGGTGGATAAGCCAGTCAGCTGCTTGGATCTGGTTTCTCTCAGCTGGGCCTGTCTGTGAGTGCAGGAGTGGAGGGGATGTGGGGGGGGCATGTAAGCCAGGGCAGGAGAGGAAGAGGGAGCCAGCCAGGGCCTGTGGGACCTAGCTATTCTGATTTGGGTAAGAGGGGTGGAGGGTGAACTAGATGAGAGGCACTGTGGGGCTCAGGCCACCTCACCCAGAAGCTCCCAGGGAACTAGAGAAGAGCAACCCTCCTCCACTGAAGCAGAAGCAAAGCTAGGACTAGACCCCAGCATCATCTTAGCTCTTGGTTGGGCATCCTTGGGCAGCACACAGACTATCCAAGTATGCAGCGGTAGCACTGGTAAACATGTTACAGAGCAGATGGATCAAAGAGAAACAGGGTAGACAGGACTAGGTCAGCTAAGGTCAGGAGTGGGTGGCTTCAACATTGTGTGTCCTCTTGTCCCAAAGTCCTGTAAAGGATGAGAGTAGTTCACAATCCCAGAGTTCACCTCCTAGATCTCAGCATTGTGTGCAGGAGTCTACCTGCTGCTGCCTGGACCATAGATGTTGGAGCAGAGCCCCTCCAGGGATACAGCCTTCTCGGGGCCAGTGTCCAGGCCAAAAGAAGAAGAGCACTAATGGCCAGCAGGACCCAGCCTTCCAGGAGCATCACAGCCGAGACCTTGGTGGGAGAGGAGAGGGAGGTGGGCTGGGGCACATGGCAATCGCTCTACCTATTGCCATATGAGTCCCTGTGATGTCCCCAACAGCCATGTGTTATTATAGTCCCATTTTCCCTACCAATAAACAGAGATCCAGAGACTGCAAGACCTTTTGCCTTGAGACACACAGCTAATCAAATAAACAGAAGCAGAATCCAGGTCGATGACCCATTACATCCCATCCTTACTAAGTGCTTGCCAGGATCACCAGGAGAAGCCCCTCGTCTGCAATGTCACCTCTGTGATCAGTTTTGAAGGCTGTATAATCTTCTTCCTCAGTGCTGCACTAAGTGCCTGCTCTTCACCCTCACCCTGTTGATCATCATGACAGGTATAACCATAAGGACCTGAACACCTCATCTTTCATTTGTTAAAACCCAGCAGTGCTTAGGGCCGAGTCATGTAGGGGTGTTCGGGTTGTACCTTGCAAGCCAGAGTATGAGGGTTGTACATTGCAGGTCAGGTTATGCAGGTTGTATATTGTAGGTCGGGATGTTTGGGTTGTACATTGCAGAAACACCACAAATTTGCTTATTGATGGCAGTGATTTCTTAGCAGGCGGCAGTATGCTGTCTTTTTTTTTTCTTTTTCTTTTTTTTTCTTTTTCTTTTTTTTTCTTTTTTCTTTTTTCTTTTTTTTTTTTTTAAGACGGGCTTTCTCTGTGTAGTTCTGGCTGCCCTGGAACCTTCTCTGTAGACCAGGCTGGCCTCGAACTCACAAAGATCCACCTGCCTCTGCCTCCCCAGTGCTGGGATTAAAAGCGTGCTCCATCACTGCCTGGCAAGTATGGTGTCTTGAAGAAGGTGAATTTTCCTGGCTTGCACAAAGGTTATCTGAGGGCTAAGAGTTGCCTCTAGACAGAGTCATGCCCTGCCTGATGCCTGCAGAGCCCAAAGCTCTGAGGTATAGCTCAGAACCTGTGCAAAGTTCTTTGGGGGTGTTCCTAATAGTTTCTGGGCTTAGGAACCTGTGTGCTCAGTCACTGGGACAAATGGTATAAGCTAAGGACCCCCACAGCCCACTCCTCAGGAACCAGGAGCCCTGGAAGAACTGTGTCTCACCTTCCAGGCCAAGCCTGGCATGTCCTTCAGGGACCCAAAGGTCACACAGCTCTGGTTCCAGCGGTCACCCTGTGGCCAGGAGCAGTATGCAAAGACACCATAGGAGAAGGAAGGGCTCTGGAACCAGGCAGGGGAGATGAGGCTGAGGCCAGACATGCCCGTGAGGGACAGTCCTAGAGCAGCCCTCACACTGACCTCCATCAGAAGTGTGGCTGACCTAGGGGGTCAAGACAAGGGGAGAGGTGAAGAGGGTACAGTGAGGTGACCTAGCATGGGACATACCAGATCCCATTCGCTCACACACTCACACATTCGTGACTTTCTCAACCCAGGTCTCCCGTGACGGTTAATCCTGACTGTCAATTTGACAAGATCCAGAATCGACAAGTCTCCATGAGAGGTAATCTAGATTAGGAAGGCCCATCCTGAACGCGGGTGACATGAAGCTGGGGTCCTAGGCTGAATAAAAATGAGAAAGTGAAGCCAGGTGGTGGTGCACACCTTTAATCCTAGCACTTGGGAGGCAGAAGCAGACAGATCTCTGAGTTCCAAGCCAGCCTGATCTGTAGAGCTAGTTCCAGGACAGCCAGGGCTACACAGAGAAACCCTGTACCCCCGCCCCACCCCCCCAAAATGAAAAGAAAAGAAAGAAATGAGGAAGTGAGCTCAGCAGCAGGCTTCATCATTCTCTGCCTCCAACTGCAAATGTAGCAGCTGGCCACTCCTGCCACTGTGCCCCCCCCCCCCGCCACCGTGAACACTTGCACCCTCAAACTGGGAACCAGAAAAAACCCATTCTTTTTCAAATTGCCTTTAGTCAGGTAGTTGACTACAACAAGAAAATTAATGTCTCCCTTGTCCAAAAGGACAGCCCTGAAGTCCCAGACTTCCAGGCTGGGGTTTCTGTCCCACCAGCTAACTCCTCTCTCTGGAGGGATTGGGATTTGTCCATTGTTCAGGGTAGACTAGGATTTGGTGGAGTTTTGGCAGCTGGTGCAGGAGGCATTTGCTACTGATGTTGTTGGGAGCCTGTGGATGCCGTCTGGATGGCATTGTTTCCAGGTTGACTCTTGTTGCCACCAAGAGCCCCATCTTCTTATACCTTCATGTGGAGGTGAGCATCCCATGCAAGGAACTATGGGAGATGTTCAGTCTCCAGCAGGATTCTTGTGGGAATTTAGGGATGTGGACCCATGACCTTTGGAGTCCTGCTAGACTTCATCATTGTCTCAGTTCACCTTCTGTGGCTATAATACAATATTGCAGACTGAGTCATTTATAAAAAAAAAAAAAAGTCATTTGATTCATGATGTTGGGAACTGGGAAGACCAAGAGCACCCTGTGGCATCTGTTCAGAGTCTGGCAAGATGTCCAGCCTATTTCTCCCCTCCTTCCCTTCTCCTTCTCCTCTTCCTTCCTCTTCCTCATTCCTCCTCCTTTTTCCTTTTTCTTCTTCTTCATCATCATCTTCTCCTCTTCCTTCTTCATTGTTTTATGATGTGCATGTGTGTATATGTATGTGTGGGCATGCATGAACCTGTAGGCACACGCACACGGAGGCCAGAGGTAAGCCTCGGGTGTAATTCCTCAGGAATATTCACCTTTCCCTCCTTCCCTTCTTTCTTTCTTTCTTTCTTTCTTTCCTTCCTTCCTTCCTTCCTTCCTCTCCCTCCCTCCTTCCTTCCCTCCCCCCCCTTTTCTTTCTTTTTGAGGCAGGATATCTCCCTGGGACCTGGAGCTTGTTCGTTAGGCTGGTTGCTGAGCTCTAGGATCCACCCACCTCTGCCTCCCCAGTGCTGGGACTACAAGCATGCACTATACCTGTTTTTTGTTTGTTCATTTTTTGAGGCAGGGTCTGGCTGTACTGAATTCCATATGCAAATGAGGCTAGCCTCAACTCAGTGGTGGGCCTGCCTCTGCCTCTGCTGGGATTAATGGCATGTGCCCACACTCATCAACACCTGGATGTTTTACATGGGTCTGGGGGCATCAGGTCCTAAGGCTTGCACACAAGCACTTACAGACTGAGCTCTTCCTTCCTCTTTTCACAAAGCTACTAACCTACCATGCTGGGGCCCCACCCTCCTGACCTCACTGACCCACCTTAACCTCCCAGTGACCTCACCTCCAGATATCATCAACACAGGACTTTTAGGATTTAGTTTCCAGCAGGAAAGCTGTGAGGGGTACACCCCAATCATGGCCTGTTTTCTAAAGAAAAGTAAAATTAAATAAAAAACAAAAAAAAGCAAGGGATTTGAAGCAGAGACTTACCTAAGTAACAAAGGATGTCTTCTGGAAGAAGTCTCACCCTGCTGGTGGTGGTAGCAGAGCCTGTTCAAGCTCTCTCAGGGGTAGTTAAGTCAGAGCTGGATCCCCTCTGATGGCAGATGTCCTGGAGATGCAGCTGTAGGACTTGGGGGTTCTCAGAGCCCAGTCAGTACTTAAACATGGCAGGGAATCCTCCCTCTCACCTGGGATCCAGTTCAAGATGGTCACAGCTACCAGTCATAGTTTCTCCATGTGTATAAGAAGCATATAGATCCCATAGTGTGTGATGCTGAGGAGCCGGACATCTGGGCTTGGGGTTGTGCCTCGATCCTGGCAAGTGGAGGGGGAGATGACTGTGGGGGTGGGGAGAGATCGGCCTGAGCAGAAGGGCACAGCCAAGTTGTGAGAGAGTTTCACACTGGGATTAGGAATCTGTCTGAGGTTCCTAGCCAGCACGTGGGGAGTCATCCCTTGGGTGACAAAGGACTTATTTTTCCCCCTTCACCAAAACTCACTCTTCCCATGGGTCAGCTGACCTCAGGGGTGTAATTTCAGACCTAGAGACTGGGGAGTGGAGCCCTGCAGCCCCATCCTCCACTGCCCCAGGGCTCTCTGGTGTTTCTGGGCCCTTGAAACAACTAGATAAGCCTCGGTGTCACCTTGGAAAAATCACAGCCACTGAACAGAGGCCCAGAAAGCTAAGTGAGGCCCTACATCCCCAAAGCACATTCCACCAGGCTCCAGTTACCGATGTCCACCTACAGGGAGACTGAATGAGACAGAATGCATACTTCTTCCTTTGTCTAGATCTGACGTTTTAATTTAGTGAAAACAAACAAACAAACAGAAAACAATTATGCATATCTGGAGTGGGTGACCCAGTGTGCATGTGGGGTCAGAGGGCAACTTAAGGGAGATGATTCCCTCCTCACACTGTGTGAGCCCAGTGATCAAATTACCTTCACTGGCTGAGCCATCCTGCTGGCCCCTAGAGTGGGCTAGCACCTGGTGAGTGATGCTGTTCTATCCACAGGTGGTAAAGTTGAGGCTCAGACTCAAACTTAGCTGGCTCCTGTCTTTCAGTCCAAAGCTCTTGGAGATACTAAGGCTGGGCATCCCGGTGGCCTCCAGATTTTGCCACAGTTAGGGCATCAGCGACTGTTCTACCAGTTCCAGCCAGGGCCTATTCTAGGTACTAGGACCTGAACATCAAACAAGTCAGCCACAGCCTCTCTCCCACGGATCCTGCCTTTGACTGGGGAAGAGAGGAAATAAGTTAATATATAAAGCAGATGTGAGGCAGTGCCTTAGGAAGTAATGGGGCAGGGAGGTAACCTGTGTGGAAAAGACTTATAAAGCTCATGAAAAAGCTAAGTCTGACCTAAAGGTGGTCGGGGGAGATGAGTGGAAGGGGATGGGGGATAACAACACTGCAGGCTGACTTCAGAGCAGGTGCAAAGGCTCTGAGACGAGCATACACTTGGCACATCTGCAGAAGCAGAGATGCCATAGAGTGGGTGGAATGCACGGGAAAGGGCCTTTGGGGGATGGTGGAGCTCCAGTCTGGACAGAGTGGTCAAGCTATGCAGCAACCCTGAAGGTGAAAAGTCAACTGGACCAGATTTGCTGAGGGAGTATGACTTGGAGTATGAGAGGAAGTGGTGGTAGCACTGGGAGGTGGGGATACAGATGCCCCCAGGGCTTTGGGCCTGGAGACCTGGGATGGTAGCATGGCATTAGGAGCGTCTGAATCTGGACCTAGATGAGGAATAGTTGCATCAGAGGAAGCAGTGGCTGAGCAGGAGGCTGTGGCAGTTGAACCATAAGCATGGCAGAGCTGCATGGGACCAAGCCCTGAGGAAGGGCACTGGGCTGCCTTCTAGACGTGGGCTCTTTCAATAGGACCTGTCTCAGCCAGGCCTGCTGGCTATGTCATTTGGAACAAATGATGCAATGGCTCAAAGTCTTAAGTGTCTCCAATTACAAAGACAGGCCCTCGCCTATGGCAGGTGCACTTAACATTTGGAGGGATGGGTTCCTTTGCACATATGATTTAAAACTGTGGCTGTGTTCCGAATTCAGGCTCCAGACCACATAGAGAAACAAGCACACAAGAGTGTGTGCCACTTCGTGGCTCCCGTGGCAGCCCCCTGAAACTTGCTGGGGCCCCTAAGTGATGCCTGGGGCCAGCCCAGCTCTTTCCCCTCTCCTCACCTCCAATATCTCTTCTGTCTAGGGCCCCACACCTTAGATCAGGCCTCTCCAAGGTTACCTTCTCACCTTGGCCTTACCCCCCCACCCCACTCCAGCTCTGGCCTGAAACATAAATCTGTGAGCTTTTAAAAGGTTTCTTTTCCTTTAAAGGTCACTTTCAGGTTGGTGAGCAAATCAGGGTCACGTGAGGAACTGGTCTGAGAAGGGTGTGTGCACACAAGCTCACTTTCCTTCCTGGTTACTGAAATCAATAGCTTTTCACTCTGTGCTGACTGATGGGTGGGACCGAGAGGGGAATTCCGGTCCCAAGTAGGATGGAGGAAGGGGGATGGGGTTTCCTGGGTAGGAGAAGGCACGAAAAGGGGAGTACCTGAGCAATTATTAAATATGGTGCTTGCACCTTCTCTTTGTTCTAAATGATGAAAGTGCAAACGAAAATTATGGCTCAAGCAGAAATAAGGAATTGTTCAGACGCACATGACTGGAATTCTGTGGCAAAGCTTTGGGCACAGTTCACTCCAGGAAAATAAACAACCTCAGTTAATCAGCCTCTCACATTTACGCTCAGGAAACACTCATATAGCAGAAGGGTACATACCAGTTGGCATCATCAAAGTGGTGTGTTTCCCCCCAATCAAGGATGCAGGACCTCAGCAGATGTCCGGTGTGCAGCCTTGATCAGGCTGCTCCAGCAGCAGGACCCTGGGGCCCCTGAG